CATCAACTTCGTTCATTTGTAAAAATATGGCAATCAGATAAACTTTTGTGAAACATTTTACAAAACGTCCTGCTGATCTAGACTAGTTATCCAGACAATATGGTAGCTCAGTGTTGCTCAAGAGGTTAAAGTGAATGCAGTCTCTGCAATTGAAACAAAATTGAAGATGAAACTCACTTTTTATCAGATTGTCCAAGTTTTTCTTCGGAAGAGAGATGTTCGTCTCTAAACTAGGACCTAAAATACCCTTTCTACGACTTAATCACATGAGACCTTATTATCACATCTGTTGAATGCTAACGACTATTTTATTAACATCCAATGAATTTTATTTATTATTCATTCAAATTATTTCCCCAATTCTGATTGGCTAAAGGCACACGCATAATTCACCATAACCAGTTACTGATGACCAAATCTGGAAGAATTTTGTGTTTAACGAGGAAATGACGTCAAAAATGCAGCCTTCTACAGGTTAATACACCGTTAACCGAGAAGACCTGGGGACGAGGTTGAGTTGTTTTGGTCGTGAACTTGAAAAATGGCGGACACTTCACTCGTTTCAAGAGTAAGAACTAGGCGAAAAAATAGCTAAAAACATAGCAAGAACAGAAAGAAGACAACTCGAAGGGCGACATCTGCTATTTGGAGAACACTTGCGGAGCTGAAAAACCCTTAACGTGCACTATCGACGGTGAACTTAACATCGATGGAGGTAAGCATGTTTTAGCTTTGTTTTTAAACTAGGAATTATATTATTTTGAATGAATAATAAAACAATTATTGAATTCGGCTTTCGTATCATATGAAGAATTATGGAGATCTCGGAGGGTATTATCTCTCCATAATTCTTCATAAGGATACTCAGCCTCATTCATTAATTGTTAATTGTATCATCTTGCTTTGAATTGAGAGACAAACTTATCTCCGGAATAATTAATCCTACTGATTGTTAAAAATAAACAAAGATATAATATGTTTCAAATTATTGAAATATTTAAGTTGGTGTTGTTGTTGTTGTTGTTGTTGTGTCTCCTTATTTGGGGTTACCATGAAAAGTGCTGCTTTCTGAAACACTGAAGGCTCGAGTTTTCTGCAAACGTCATTCTGACGTAGTCATTTTGCTTCGTTGAGCTAAAATAACGGCCCGAGTATCAGTTTGTATGCGGTTTTTGGTAAGTTTATAGCTACTTTTCATCTTTAGTGGCTGCCTTATGAGCATCATTAAGCGTGACGGTAGCTAAGAGTCCACTTTCTCAAAGAAGCGAGTAAGGTGATGTACTTCGTCTGCGAATTTGGCTTGTTGCTCGTGGAACTGCAAAAATGGCCGAACCGAAACGAAGTCGCTTTGGAATTTCGACTGCTGATAAATTTCTTGACCTACCACGGCATATTTTGGAATTTGCGACCACTGAAAAACACAACAAAAGCGAAATTTCCGTAGTAGTTCGGAGTGGCTGTGGACTGTTAAAAAAGTGGGGGAAGGAACGAACGATGTCTAAAATCCTGGCTATTTCCCAGCATGCAATGCAGTTGTGATTTTAATAATCGAGTCAAGGCCAGGAAGCACTAGAACAAAACACTTTAGCTTGGCCCGGGAATCAAACAAGAATTAAAAAACGTCACTCCTAAGCTAGAACAAGGACTAAATTTTAATTTGAATGTTGACTTTTAGTTTTCCAACGATGATTCTGTAAAAATCCTGAGGCGAAAAACGTGATGTTTCTCGATATTCTATGACGTTAAAAACGGTCATTCTTTGCTTTTGCTCAAATTCAAAAAGTGATATTTTGCAAAAAGCGCTTATTTTTTTGCGTTTCTTGGATATACCAATTTGAAGGACATTCTAGGCAATGCTCAAAAATGTTCACGCGATTTAGAAAGTTGCAATGTTTTAAAGCAGTATAGTCTTCTTCGGCTGGTTTTGGCCGGCACGGCCGGCACGGCCGTCAATGGGTTAATTAATCAATCACCCACTGTCCCAAAATATCAATCCACTTCAAGTGAAGTGATATTCTTTCTAAAATTAAGACCTCGGAGCGAAATCTTCCGACGAAATGTGACTCATTGAACTCCATTTGATGCTTGCTTATTTTCCAGATACTTTCCATTCAGATTACTGTGCCGCCAGGCACCAGTGTATGACACAACACGGCTCCAAACACATATCATCTCCGTCTTTTATGCTGAACGCCAGGTCAAATACCTAGCGCAAGGAGTCTCCTGCTGTCCCTGAGTCCAATTCAATTCCGCGCCTGCTCATCACCAATGTTACTGTTACCATATTAAGCATGCACTGTTACTCCATTTCAGTCCTCTACCTCAACTCGTAGAGGGCTTGGTATTGCCATTGTTGGCGTAAACAATAATACTTTCCATTCTTGTAATAGTGAAACGAGAGAATTAAACATGCGTATTCTTTTTTGATATGACGGTCTTAGCTTCATTTCAGTATATTTGAGTGAAAGTTTATCTCTGAATTCATTCCACACGACTCCTTTGTAATCATATTTTCGTCCCAGGTATTTCCCATTAAGATTGGAGTTGTGGCAGGCGTTGTACCACCAGGCACCAGAAAAGATCACCGCACAGTTGACACCGTATCTATCATTATCTCTGTCCTTTGTGGTAAACGCCATGTTATTAAGGTTATATGAACCGAGCAAAGAGTTCCCCGCCGTCCCTGAACATGAACCCACCTCAAGTCGATACTTCGCCTGCTCATCACCAACTTTAAACTGGCCATATTTGGCGTATACTCTTACTCCGTTCCAGTCCTCTAGCTCGACTCGCAGGGTACTGGGTCTAGCGGCTGTCAGCCTGTGGATCTTGTCGTTTCCTAACCAGAGCTCAGCTATCAGCTGACCAAAGCCTGATTTGAAATCATTCCAGCCGCGATAGAAGTCTACCGAGCCATCTTGTCTTCTCTGGAACACGATCCATCCTCCACCATCAGTGCGCATGTCACAATATACATTGAAGGATCCTTTTCCGTCTGGGTTCACAGAGTACACCCCACTCTGATTATGGCCGGACTTGAACAGATCGGAGCAATCTGATAAAACAAGATAGAAAGAGCTTGTTTGGACAGTCGCTGTGGTATAAACAATAGTAAAACAAAGATATACGTTGCCTCGTCCCAGAGAGTAAAGCTTGCAGCCTTTTTAGCGAGCGTTTTTGTGTGAGCTTTTTTCTTGCCACGAAAAAATAAGAACAAGAACAAAAACTGACAACAAAACAAGGCATACGTTATATAGCGTAGATCCTTTTTGTGTTTGCTAGGGTTAGCTCCTTATTCTTAGTAAATGAATAACAACCTATTCGGATGGAACAGCAAGTACCAGGTTACCTTCGCCTTTTATTTTCAGTCTGAGGACTTGGAGCCATTAAAATAATTATTCGTCAGATTTAGATGACGTTTAAATTTATATGACGCAGAGACAAAAGGGACAGTGTGAGAGATTTGGAATAATTCAAAATTAATTTAAAATTAATTTTGTATTGCTACACAGATACTCAAAACAATTCCACTTCGGCCATACCAGCTCCTTTATAGTTTTTTCTTCCTCTTTCTCAGTGGCTAAAAGTTTGCTAAGGCCGTTTTCTCTGAATCTCTTTTGTGCAGTCAAACCTAAGGGCTTTTTCAAGATTGAATTTCAGTTTTTTACTTGCATAAGTGAAGATCCGTAGTAGAAATACAACACATGGTTGCTTTAATTTGATACTTACAATCATTTATTTATTTATTTGCTTCAATCTATTTACTTGAAAAACTATTAGTGGTTCAATTGAAAACTGCAATAAACAAGAAAAATGTATTGGCCTATCGCTTATCACAATGAAAAAAGGATCTTCCTTTATATTTGTCACGAAAAGCAAAACGTTCTCTTCATGAGAACTACCTAAGTTGAGCTATCCGTTGTAGTAGAAAGATCGAGTCATCAACCGAAAAAGAAACTATATAGTGGACAGAGTAAAATCAAAAATCTTTGTTCTGAATAAATTCTTAGGAATCATGGTCATAACTAACCTTTAGCATGAGATTGAACCTCAATGTAGGCCACAGTTTCTACACTGAATACTCCTGCACTTGTTGCAGTACAAATGTAATTTCCTGTATCCTCCTTTCGAATACCTCTTATCACTAACGCGCCATTGATTTGCTGGCTTCTTCCACGAGGCAGCTGGAATCCTTGTTTTTTCCAACTTATGACAGGCTGAGGATCACCAGTAGCGCTGCAGTTCAACGTCATAACAAGACCAAGAAATACAAGAACTTTCGCGCGAGGTTTAACGGTAAACCGAGGGAGGGAGACCACAACTAAGTGAGTTCTTTTTACGACACTTCCTAACAGATTAGTCGCAGTGCAGAGGTAATTATCAGAATCAACTTTACGGACACCAACAACTTTGATGACACTGCTGTTACTCTGTACCCTCCCCTGCGGTAGCTGGCCAAATGATCTGCTCCACGTGACCACGGGTGTGGGATGTCCAGTCACGTGACATACTGGAAGAATGGCGTTACTTCCTTCAACGAAATAATGAGGTCCTGGATCGAGAGATACGGAAGGGCGAACTGTAAACGGAAAAGAGATGTGTTTTACTACCCTCAAAAAGGTTCAATTGGTTTTCCGGACTAATATTCTTCCCTTATAGAAAGAAAACAGTTTATTTCAAATGTGCAAAAAGTAATAAAACATACACTACGAAGGATAAAAAAACTTCGCCATGCAATGCAGAGCCCGATTGGACCCTGGGTTTGAATACGACGTTAGTAAATACTGAAAATATACATCATAAATGCGCGACAGGATAAAAATATAACCTCCACGTAAATGGCGTTAAGTGGTTTCTCGTGACCAGTAATTGCAGCAGCTAGAGCAATGGTCAGTCATTTTTGCATTCGCTAAGATAAAAACTGTGTTGCAGAACGTTCTACCAAACAGCAAGTTGACAAAGAAACGGAGCGTTTTCGCATCAAATATTTGTAAAGTTTTCTTAAAGTAGTCCTGTCAACTTTGTACTTAATAATTCTCAGCAAATTAAGCCTAAGTGGGTGTGCTGCAAGACATTTTTCTCACCCTAAGACAAGTCCGAAACCAAATTTTGGCAATGCTGAACCAGGAATGTAAAACAAATCACTTAGGATAGAGGAACGTAACCACGTCTTACTAAGGGCAAATATTTTGAAATCTTCTTTCAATATGATTTAAGATTTCGAACTCATCAACAACATTAATAAACTGCGAGCTTTTAATGACCAAACGAACTTGCAGACCAAGGTTGGGTTAATTTCGTCCTCAGGGCATGTTAGAAAAAAAGAGCAAGCACCTGCTAAGGTAGTGCAACAAGCGAGAAATTATACTGTCATGATACATTTAATTTGCTAAAAAAAAAGTATTGACCTACGGTGCTTATATTTAGAGGGTCTGCAAAAAAAAAATTAATTCCGAGCTTTTTTTCGTTAGTTGAATGAAAAATAGTTTCTGCAAGATACTGTTGACTACACCTTGATATCGCTCCTGCGTTTTTTTGTAAGGTTGCTACGTAATACCTTTCCTCATCCTTCATCTTGTATGGTGCGCAAAGTAAATCCTTGCAATAAGATAATAGTCAATAAAAAATGCAAAAAAGAATAACAACTCACCATTCACTATAAGGTGACCAACTGCGTGCGCCTGCCCCAAGATGTTTACCGCTGAACATTTATACACACCCGCATCACTTCCTTTCGAGTTCTGTAAACGCAAAGTCTCTCCTGAAACCAATGACTGGCTAATATTTGTTTGACTGTGTAATTTACTCCAAACTACTGTAGGTTTAGGATTACCAATAACTGAACACTTAAACGTGGCTGATCCAGTTTCGTTTGTATTTGACCTTGCGGGAGAAACAACAACAGAGGGTGCTAAAATTGATTCACCAGGCTCTCCTTTAGATCCCGGCATGCCTGCAGGCCCAATGTCTCCTTTTTGTCCCTTCGGACCTGTTACGCCAGGTGGTCCAATAGGTCCCATGATGCCTTGCTTGCCACTTTTTCCTGGTGATCCCATAATTCCTTGATCTCCTTTGTTTCCTTGTCTCCCTCTCTGTCCTCTTCGTCCCCGGGTTCCTTTCTCTCCTCTCGGTCCGGGTGGACCTGGAGGTCCTGGTGAACACATGACACCCTTTGATTGACAGATGTGCGGTTCTAACTCTGATATGAGTTTGTTTATTTTAAGCGTCTTATTCACTTTATCAACCTGACGTTTGTTTCTGTGGAGCTCAAGGGGCTGAAGCTCTAAAAAGAAGAGAAACACCCTTTATTGTCATGTTCAACCCTCATAGTAAAAAGAAGACTGTACAGTATAAACTTTACAATTCATCGAGTGGAACCAGTTACTACCAGTATCTACCAGTATGACGATTGACGGCGTTACGGGGTAAATAATCAGACAAATGATTTAGGTGAAAGAACCGCGAAACATAAATTCAAAGCTCAAAGACGCGTATACACGCAACTAAGCCTTGAGTAGGTGAATACTATCAAATGTCTTCCTTGACATCATTAAGGAATGGGCTAGAAATAAATTAATTAATGTTTCTCCACCAAATATCTAACTGTGATAACTAATTATCAGCAGACGATGCCTAAAACGAGTGATAACAGCTCCGCAATTGGAATCAGCTTAATCAAATCATGTCTCTAATGGTCCATTAATTAGTTAGTTAATTAAATTTGTTGTTTTTGATGACATTTCAAATATAATCGACTACTTTTGACAATCAACCTTTTCCGGGGTTCTTTGTTAAGCTCTTTCAAAAGATTCGATTCGTTCGTTGGCAACTTAAGACTTATTTCAGTTCATGGAACTGAAGTTCACCGAATCCTCTCGTTCAGGTCCGTCAATAACACTGAAAAATCCGGCCCAATAAAAGATAGTTACAAAATAACAAGGAGTAGTTGCAAAGATTAAAGTTCTTGAGTTTGACAAAATCGTGTTATGCTTTAAACCCGAAGCTCATTATGAGACCTGCTTTGCATATACCTTTGATGCGAAGTACCTCATCCTTCTGAAAAAACTACGGTGGCTCCACCGTAAAAAAAAAAACACTAAGAAAAAAAAAACTTCACAACGACACAAGCACAAAGCCGCAAAGACGTCTGTGTAGATACTCGATGATAAGAGAAATCAGTGTTATTTATTAATAAGGGACCGGAATAGAGTCAAAATTAGTGAATCTAGTCGCAGCCGTTGGCTAGGAATGGAAACTGGACTGAACTACAGAGTAAACAAGACTCGTATAATTGTTTAATTTAACGATTTTATTCGCAGTTGCTTAGATGCAATTAGCCTGCGAATGGTAAGAAACGATGAGAGACGTACGTATTATACTCGCCGGCAAAGATACATTGAAACAGTAATGCGTGACACAAGTAAACCGGGAAACATCAGGACTCTCGGGAAAACAAAACTAACTGTTTCCCTTGGGATCTGACATTAAGTGTATAGCGTTCAATGACCAAAGGCCGTTAATATGCAATACAAAATAATGAAACAGCTTAAATTACCACTGGAGTTTAAAGCTTATTATTTTGGGGTGGGGTCTGCTCTAACCGGAGCTGGGAAAAGTCTGACTTTCAAGCTGGCCATTCGTACTTATTCCCTCTGGGCAGGCCTGTGTCCACAAAAGCTGGTAAAACTAAATAAAACTAAAACTAATTATTTACTAGGAAGGTTTTAGTTCTAGTTTTTTTTTCAGGTTTACCAGCTTTTCTGGACACAGGCCAACCCAGAGGGAATAGGCACGAACAGCCAGCTATAAAAGAGTAAAGAAAACTTGGAGACGACTGGGGACGAGTCAGCGCAGTGAGGACTGAGGATTTTTGACTCATCTTAAGAATTGACGATCTGAAAGCAAAGTTGATGCCGGTTAATGCCTCAGTACGTTCGACGATGTTTTGAACTGATAGCTCTTAAAAAGGCAAAAACTTCGGCTAAATAAAAGATGGGAAATCGAGGTCGCAGATTTTACTTATTAACTCGAACGTAAAGCATTTACATTACAACTTTTAAGTGATAATCCTAGATCTGTGTACTCTGTTGCCTTACGTTAAACATAAAATCCCGAAAACGGAACAACTTACCAGAAAGCGAATGCTGCGTCTTTACGGGGTTTGGTTCCATTGATGGCTGCAGCTTTGACTCTGCGTTGTTTTCAAGAGCGTTAATCCTCTTCTTCTGCTCATGTAACTCTAGTTCAACTCTCAAAAATCCGGCACAGTAAAACACAAAAGAGCCAACACAAAGAATGCTTACAAAAGAGGGCATACGCTGCTTTTGAGCTGCCATTTTCGTCTACTTCGGTGGTAAAGACTGTTGTCTTTCGCGACGTCACAATAGGTCTTTATCTGGTTATATACTGCCGATCACGTATTTGGGTATGCACCTATCAATGTTAAGCCGCAGGGGGGGGAGGCCGGGTGTAGGCGGGGGATTTGACGTAACAAGTCTGCCCGTGGCAGGGACTTTTGATCATTCGTCGAGTCCCGGGGGTCGGGACTTTTGACTTTAACCGTTAGTGGCTTGAGCTCCACCGACGCCATCTTGGATTTTCGGCGCACTGAGACCTGGTAACTAGCAGACATCAAAATGGAGGCTGCTTCGGTTTCCGTGAAGAAGGTAAGAAATCTGTGAAATTTTGTCGCTTAAAGAGCCCATCGGGCCGTTTTTTGCGTTTTGTTATGTCATCAGTGCCATGATTGATTATATTGCGATATTCTTTTTGTTTTTTAATACAACTATGTACATCTCACATCAGAAGTCCTCTTATGGGGCTGTTTTAATATTTTTCTATTTCAAATCAGAGGTTATAAATATTTCATTTCCATCGTTCCTGTTTGCAATTAAAGTAATTAAATGTAAAAGCCAGTATAGATAATTACATCACCCAGTCAAAATGTCACATCTTGGTTTGTTTACAAAGTATGCAGTTCCATTTTTTATTTACTTTAGGGCATAGGTCTGTTGGTACTATTAAAAATCAGAAAAGTGTTACGGACTGAAGTTGAAATAAACTAGTCTTACTTGGTGATGTAAATATGAATAATGGCCATGAGTTATAAACGGATGTCAATTCAAATAAAAGTTATCTGTAGCATAACATTTCATGATAAGATACCAGAATTTCCTTGTTTTGCTGTATTGTTCAATACTATCAGTTGAGACAGTCTTCAAAGTTTTATATACTTTCCAGATAAATTACATGACATTTTTCTATTAAACGGACGTTACATTTTGAAGTTGTTGCTTCTTGCTTTTTACAACTTTATAATTCCTGTATATCCCTATTTTAATTCTTGTTTGACCAATGCCTTGACCTTTTTCTGGAAGGGGAGGGGGATGGGGAATTTGCACTCTTTTGACCAGCGATAACGTCCCTGGGGTCGGGCATTTGAACAGAAAAAATGATCTGAGTTCAACTCCCCCGCCTATGCCCGGATTTTGGTTTTGGTTTTCATAATATAGATTAAAATTGCTAAGTAAAAATAAAAAAGTTTAAAACAAAAATGGAAAATTAAAAATCAAAATCAAAACCAAAACCAAAACCAAAAAGCAAAATGAAGAAGTGAAAATCAAACCATTAAAAACAAAAACGGAAAAGTAAAAAATCAAAATCAAAACCAAAACCAAAAAGCAAAACGACGAAGTGAAAATCAAAACATAAAAACAAAAACGGAAAAGGAAAAATGAAAACCGAAATCGCAATCGAAAAGCAAAATGACGAAGGGAAAATCAAAACGTTTAAAACAAAAACTGAAAAGTAAAAAACAAAAACGGAAACGTAAAAAATAAGAACCGAAAAGTGAAAAATAAAAACGAAATCACTAACTGGCCCCCCTGGGCTTTCGTAGTTTACCTTTCTGCATCCATCTATCAGTGCTAATACTATGCAAGACAGTGATAGTCAGGGAATTTATAATGAATTATGCACTCGTAAAGATTGTATATGTAAATAGGGTAAATCTGTTGGCCATCTGTCAGTTAATTAGTGCACATACCTTTACTGAATGGAAACAAGGAGAGCCCGTTCTCTTCCTAAAATTGCCGATAACGATCGACTGGTGACAATGCAGCAGGTTTATCAAACCGCATAGTCCTTCTGGAGTAATAATTATCAAATATTAACCCTTCAAAGCGAAAATGGAGACGTCAATGTCGACTTCAGATTCCGACGCAATTGATTAGGAAACTTTATTGACTGCCTTGGCTAGATAGCTCGATCTGGTATGTGCAATTCCCAAAGAACTATTTTGTCACACAAGTAAATTATTTATATTTTTCTTTTCATGTGCAGAAATCAACTACAGCGATTATAAGCAAAGAAAACTAAATACGAGCTCATGCTAACTGTTACAGCGTTAGCCAAGTTAACTAGAATTTTAAAGCTCTCTCAGATACAGTTCCCTGTAAATTGTCTTCGATTCCGTAATAGAATAAAATGACATTGATGAAGTGGTACTTTCCTTTAAGTATGACTCACACAAAATGTGTGCTGCTCATCCAGCTGTTTACAATCTTTAACTAAATTCAGTCGAGTGATGCGCGCGCGTAAAAGCAGACGCGAATTAAATTCAATTTTATCACTATGTATACTAGCCTCCCACGCAGACGTCATTAGGGGCTTGTCACGCGTTCCTGCCTCAAGAACGACGTTCGTGCGGGAGGATTGCGTGACGAGCCAAAAGAAGGTCTGCGTGCGACTCTACATGCATACGTAATGCGCCAAAAAAGTTAATTTTAAGGAACTTTCATTTCCATACTTTCAACTGATAACGAGCAAAATAACGATACAAATCTCAGCGATATCCTGGAATCCAGACAAGAAACAAACGAAGGATCGAACAAAGCTGTCCATGTAACACTGCGTGAGGTCCTGCGTGAGTGTTTCTCCTAGCTACGCTATCAAAGAAATAAGAAAACCTTGAGTTAAAAGCATTAAACAATGTTACTATTTACCCTACTAAGAAAACGGACTCAGCTCTATCTTAGCCAACGGCGCGATGCCACAGGGCTCTTCCCTCCTTCCCCCCTAGTATTTTCCGTTTAAACAGAATTAGTGGTGACAGCCTCTGTACCATTAGCCATCAGTTCAACGCTTACGGCTTGCACTAAATGCTATGTTACTGCGATTACTTATTAATTCACGTTCCGAATCAATCACTCGCTGTCGCTAAATATGAACACACCTTAAGATAGTGATAATCTTCCTAGAACGAAGACCTCATTTTCATTTCAACATATTTGAGTGAAAGATTGTTACGAAATGTAGCCCATCGAACTCCATTTGCGTCTGCTTTATTTCCCAGGTATTTTCCATTTAAATTCGAGTACTGGCAGTCTCTGTACCACCATGCACCAGTCCAGCGCACAGCACAGTTAAAAGGTGAGTATATGTCATTATCTCTGTCTTTTGTGCTGAACGCCATGTTATTAAGGTCAAAAATGGTGCGCAAAGAATCTCCTGCCGTCCCTGAATATGATCCAAATTCAAGACGATACTTCACCCGCTCATCACCAATCTTAAACTTGTCATAGTTGGCATACACTCTTACTCCGTTCCAGTCCTCTACCTCCACTCGTAGAGTGTTCGGTCTAGCTACCGTCAGCCTGTGGATCTTGTCGTTTCCTAACCAGAATTCAGCCGTCAGCTGACCAAAGCCTGATTTGTAATCGTTCCATCCGCGATAGAAGTTTACTGAGCCATCTTGCCTTCTCTGAAACACGGTCCAACCTCCACCATCAGTGCGCATGTCACAATATACATTGAAGGATCCTTTACCGTCTGGGTTCACAGAGTACACTCCACTCTGAGTATGGCCTGACTTTAGCAGATCAGAGCAGTCTAACGAGAGCAACAAAAAACGATTCAAGAAGAAATCAAAAATCACCCATAGCATATGTACAAGACTGCTTACATCGGCGAATTTATTATTACCGTTCGAAAGAAGGACAGAAACGAAACTTATGAAGTCAGTTCCTTAAGAGCCAATGTCTGTAATTTTCCAAAATCGGTTGACAGTCGTGAAGTTTTGACTTTCTTCATATTTTGCCCAAATAATCTCTATAGTATACTTATTTAAAAAATCACATTAGAACTTGTAACGGCTTTTTATATTTTCAGAAGTCGGGCAAATCTTGAAAAACGCTAAATCGGCGCTCTTTCGAGTATGAAATAAGCGAAAATTGAGCATTTTCATCTGCGCTCCGGCGTACATGAAAAATGACTATCAGAATTTCTCTAAATGAAATACCGTCACAAAACAAACACAGACTTGTTAAAATGCACTGTGCCGGCCGCAAGAAGAAACACGGTTCAGCACTTTTCAATCAAACGGTGCCTCTGGTTTACTAGCTCGTGGATTAAGTATTTTAGAAATGAAAGCTGATAATCAACTTGCAATAAAAACATATGAGAAGGGGGCTTGGACTTTTCTGGCTATTCCATCATTCCAGGGAACATATGTACAGTAGGTGCCTATATGAAGCTAGAGCCTCCTTGGAGAGCACTATTGTTTACTCCCTGTAGTATTGAGTTTTCCTGTCTTAAGACAGTGGCTCTTTCCCACTTCCATGTCTAGTCATTTTGATTATTGATATGCCTTCACTTCATTCTATTATTTTAGCAAAGATTTTACCTATACGCGCGCGCTATTCAATTTGTTTAGAAATGTCATGAATTACCGTTATTTACGAAAAATAGCTTGAACTCAATTCGATTACCAGAAGCAAAAATTACCTTGAAAATAGTGAGCTAAACTGTTCTATTACGTAAAGAATTTGAAGTAGCATATTTTTCGAGATACTGAAGTTGGTTTTTTTTGTCCGATAATTAGTATTTTCTGCTAATTAAGGAACGTCAAGTTTGGAGACAAGATGTCCAACTCTCAAAAAGCTACTTTTAATATTTATTCTTCTAAATAGAAAGCTTATCAGTAAAGTGGTTATTTATCATCTTCATTCTTAATACTGAGTAATTACTTGGATTTTTCCAGAACCTAAAAGCTTAAACTGAGAACAGAAATTTACTGGACTTTCCTCAAAGTGTCATGTATTTTTAAAATCGAGGAGGTCAGTTGATTCATAGTCTAAAAAGTAAAAGGCAGTAATAATATCTCGGTACTTTTCACCACCGCCTGGTTAGCTCAATTGGGAGAGCGAGGGTTCAAACCCCTGCTGGACCAACACTCAGGGTCTTTAAGCAACTGAGAAGAAAGTGCTGCCTTTGTAAAGGCATCTGCAAGAGAGTTAGACTTTCTAGACTTCAGGGATAAGGACGAAAATTGTGGGACGTAAAAAAAAACCTACACCACTGTTCAGAAACTGAGTAGAGGACATAGACCCCGTTGGTGTGGCCAGCCTTTCCTTGGTTGTGCATGGATTATCTGTAAGTTAGATCTCATTATAGTATAACCTCATGATTCTCCTTCAGATGTCGTAATAGCTACCTGTAAACAGTGCATGTATGTATTTACGTATTTAGCAAACAAATATTTCATGGTTGGCTCGCCTGTGAGATACTTGCCCTGCTCATCTCTGTATGTACGACGCCTGATCGCAGGTTAAACGAGAGTGATCGCGGCGATCGAAAAACTTTGCGATTCTTCTCAGTTCGTGGATGAAAATTGTCTCCGTTCAACAACAATGAAGTAATCTACAAAAAAGCTGAAAATCCTAGGATGATCGTACAGGTATAAACCTTTGACTATCAAATACCTTGGCAGTCCCCCCCCCCCCCACCCCCTCTTAGTGATATATTCACCACTTTTATCTCCTTAACCCGTGAATTATGTTTCCGTGCAGTACTGAGGGAGAAATGAAATACACCGTACCTGGTCAATAGCCGAAACAAAAATTTATCTATTTTTACTCGAATCGTCTATTTTTGATTTTGGTCACCCACTAGACAGCTAGACAACTGACTAGCGTTATAAAATTTGTTTTACACTCTGTCATCTGAGTCAAAAAGTTATCAAACGAGTATATTAAGGCACTATGTAGCTAATATACTGATTTTTTATTTACCTTTAGCTTTAACAACCTCAATCACGACGGTAGTTTCCACGTAGAAAAACCCTGCACTTGTTGCAGTACAAATGTAACTCCCTGCATCTTCCTCTTTGGTGTCCCTGATAACTAACGCACCATTGATATGCTGGCTTCGTCCAACTGGAAGTTGTTGTCCTGTTTTTTTCCAGCTTATGACTGGCTGAGGATCCGCAGTAGCAGAGCAGTTTAAAGTTAACGTTTGGCCAATCAACACAGTAAGGTTTGCCGGTGGCTGTACAGTAAATTGAGGGAGGGAGACTACATTTAACTGAGTTCTTTTTACAACACTTCCTAACAGGTTCGTTGCAGTGCAGAGGTAGTTATCAGAATCAACTTTACGGACACCAAAAACTTTGATGACACTGTTGTTTTTCTGTATCCTTCCTTGGGGCAGCTGACCAAATGATCTGCTCCACGTGACCACTGGTGTGGGATGCCCAGTCACGTGACATACAGGAAGAATGGCGTTACTTCCTTCAACAACATAATGAGGTCCCGGATCAAGAGATATGGATGGACGAACTGTAAGCAGAGAAGATGAATTTTTCTGCTAACTTGCAAAAGACTAAATCGACTTCCTGGACTAACAACTCCAGCGGATTCGGACGCTATATTTGAACCGGAGAGGTGTTGCGTAACTAATAATTGCACCTGCTCAAACAATATTTTGCCTTTTTATTAAAACGCCGCTTCTCCAGACAGCGGGCGGTAAAAATCCTTTCCAGATGGTAGTACCTAAAATTAGCCCTCTGTTAACACAACTTATTATTCATTCAAAATATTTCCCCGATTCTGATTGGATAGAAGTACACGCATAATTCACCATAACCAGCTACTGATGACCACATTTGGAAGAATTTTGCGATTAATGAATCGATGACGTCAAAAGTGCAGCTTCCTTGCAGGTTAATGCACCGTTAACCGAGAAGAACTGGGGAAGAGGTTGAGTTGTTTGGGTTGTGAAAACAAAAATGGCGGACGTTTCACTCGTTTCAGGATTAAGAACTTAGCGAAATATGATAGTCAAAAACGTGGCAAGAACAGCAAGAAGACAACTCGAAGGGCGACATGTGCTATTTGGAGAATATTTTCGGAGCGGAACAACCCTAAACGTGCACTATCGAACATAAGACAAACTTAAAGCAAGGGGCGCACATACACCAACCCACGGCCTGGGCAGTATCTCACGCATGCTCACAGCCATATCACCCGGGCAGTGGCAGCCATGGACAGCTGTTTCGCCTTTATTGGGGCTCATCAGCATGGCATAGCCGTCGGATCAATGAACGGGGAAAATCCACTGCCTGGGTGATATGGCTGTGCGCAAGCGTGAGGTACTGGCCTAAAGCATGTTTTACTATGTTTTCAGACTAGGAATTATTTTGAATGAATAATAAAACAATTATTGAATTCGGTTTTCGCATCATAATTCCAAGATTCTTCATAAGAAACTCAGCGTCATTCATTAATTGTTAATTTAAATCTACCTTACGTTTCGCGAAAAATTTAATCAGCAGCCAAATAGCGCAAGAGCTGCAACGAACGAGGGTTTTTTTCTGTCGTTAGACATTTGATTAGTATAGGAAACAAAACTTAAGGATGTTACTTATGTCTTGGGAATAAAAAAGGAAAAATGAAATAAAAATGTGAGATCTTTCTTCCGGATAAAATTTACTTTTTCTCCCATATCTTAAGCTAAGTCCTTGCAATAACTAAGATAATAACAAATAGATCTTCTAAAAATATTAACTTACCATTTACCACAAGCTGACCCACTGCTTACGCCTGCCCCAAGATGTTTATCGCTGAACATTTATACACACCCGCATCACTTCCTTTCAAGTTCTGTAAACGCAAAGTCTCTCCCGATACCAATGATTGGCTAATATTTGTTTGACTGTTCAATTTACTCCAAACTACTGTAGGTTTAGGATTACCAATAACTGAACACTTAAACGTGGCTGATCCGGTTTCGTTTATAGTCGACCTTGCAGGAGAAACAGCAACAGAAGGTGCTGAATTTGATTCACCAGGCTCTCCTTTAGATCCCGGCATGCCTGCAGGCCCAATGTCTCCTTTTTGTCCTTTCGGACCTGTTACGCCTGGTGGTCCAATCGGTCCCATGATGCCTTGCTTGCCTTTTTTTCCTGGTGATCCCATAATTCCTTGATCTCCTTTGTTTCCTTGTTTCCCTCTCTGTCCTCTTCGTCCCCGGGTTCCTTTCTCTCCTCTCGGTCCGGGTGGACCTGGAAGGCCTGGAGGTCCTGGTAAACACGTGACACCCTTTGAATGACAGATGTGCGGTTTTAACTCTGATATAAGTTTGTTTATTTTAAGCGTCGTATTCACTGAATCAATCTGCCGTTTGTTTCTGTGGAGCTCAAGGGACTGAAGCTCTAAAAAGAATAGAAACAATCTTTATTGTCATGTTCAACCCTCATAGTAAAAAGAAGACTGTACAGTATAAACTTTACAATTCATCGAGTGGAAGCTAGTTACTACCAGTATCTACCAGTATGACGATTGACGGCGTTACGGGGTAAATAATCAGACAAATGATTTAGGTGAAAGAACTGCGAAACAGAAATTCAAAGCTCAAAGAACGCGTATACACGCATCTAAGCCTTGAGTAGATGAATACTATCAAATATCTTCCTTGACATCATTAAGGGACGGGCTAGAAATAAATTAATTATTGTTTCTCCACCAAATATCTAACTGTGATAACTAATTATCAGCAGACGATGCCTAAAACGAGTGATAACAGCTCCGCAATTGGAATCAGCTTAATTAAATAATGTCTCTATAATGGTTCCATTAATTAGTCAGTTAATTAAATTTGTTGCTTATGATGACATTTCAAATACAATAGACTCTTTTGAAAATCAACCTTTTCCGGGGTTCTTCGTCAAGATTTTTTAAAAGATTCGATTCGTTCGTTGGCAATTTAAGACTTATTTCAGTTCATGGAACTGAAGTTCACCGAATCCTCTCTTTCAGGTCCGTCAATAACACTGAAAACTCCGGCCCACTAAAAGGTAGTGACTAAATAACAAGGAGTAGTTGCAAAGATTAAAGTTCTTGAGTTTGACAAAATCGCGCTATGCTGTGAGAAAACCCGAAGCTCATTATGTGACCTGCTTTATACCTTTGATGCGACGTATCTCATCCTCCTGTTAAAACTACGGTGGCTCCACCGTAAAAAAAAAAAAAAGACAAAGAAAAAGGACCGGAGTAGAGTCAAAATTAGTTAATCTAGCCGTAGCCGTTGGCTAGGAAATGCGGGCGAAACCACTTTTATATGAAGGTGAATGCCGTTCAGTTAGTGTTAACAAAAGCTGATATCAGTGCGGATCATGAAGACCATGAAAACTGGATTGAACAACAGAGTAAACAAGACTCATATAATTGTTTAATTTAACGATTTTATTCGCAGTTGCTTAGATACAATTAGCCTGCGAATGGTAAGAAGCCAAGAGAGACGTGCGTATTATACTCGCCGGCAAATCGAGGCAAAGATACATTGAAACAGTAATGCGTGACACAAGTAATGCGGGTATGCATTCAAGCACCAAGTCTTGTTATTCAGTTGAATATTCAATCCGTGTTCAATGACCAAAGGCCGTTAATATGCAATACAAAATAATGAAACAGCTTAAATTACCACTGGAGTTTAAAGCTTATTATTTTGGGTCTGCTCTAACCGGAGCTGGGAAAAGTCGTGACTTTCAAGTTGGCCGTTCGTACTTTTAAGTTCCCTCTGGGCAGGCCTGTGTTTAGAAAAGCTGGTAAAACTAAATATAACTAAAACTAATTATTTCCTAGGGAAGTTTTAGTTTTAGTTTTTTTTTTAGTTTTACCAGCTTTTCTGCACACAGGCCCGCCCAGAGGGAATGGGCACGAACGGCCAACTGGGGACGAGCCAGCGCAGTGAGCACTGAGGATTTTTAACTCATCTTAAGAATTCGCGATCTGAAAGCAAAATTGATGCCGGTTAATGCCTCAGTACGTTCGACGGTGTTTTGAACTCATAGCTCTTAAAAAGGCAAAAACTTCGACTAACTTAAAGATGGGAAATCGAGGTCGCAGTTTTTACTTAACTCGAACATAAAGCATTTACATTACAACCCTTAAGTGATAATCCTAGATCTGTGTACTTTGTTGCCTTACGTTAAACATAAAATCCCGAAAACGGAACAACTTACCAGAAAGCGAATGCTGTGTCTTCACAGGGTTTGGTTCCATTGATGGCTGCAGCTTTGACTCTGCGTTGTTTTCAAGAGCGTTAATCCTCTTCTTCTGCTCATGTAACTCAAGTTCAACTCTCAAAAACCCGGCACAGTAAAACACAAAAGAGGCAACACAAAGAATGCTTACAAAGGCGGGCATACGCTGCTTTTGAGCTGCCATGTTCGTCTACTTCGATGGTAAAGACGGTTGTATTTCGCTGCGTCACAATGGGTCTTTATCTGATTATTTACTGCCGGTATCACGTATTTGGGTAATTTGCCAAGAGATGTTTTTATTTATAATCATTTTTGTCATTATGCAAGTCAAAGATCAAGATCAAAGCTCCTCTCGTATCATGTTCAGTCGCGTCGCAGACGGAAAATTGTTTCCCTGAGGTAGGGAACACTTTATTCCCCAGCCAATACAACAACGACACAGTCACGGGGGCACCGGGCGATAGAACTTTATTTCCAAAAATCAACAAGAAATAAAGGTAAAGATAGAAACAGGAAGCAAAATTCATCTCCCTGCCATCTCACTAGAAGTCCTGATGGAGACGGGTGCAAGGGGGGGGGGGGGGGGGGGAGGTCGGTGGGTAAAATATCTACATGACTACCAGAAACTGTACACCTATCTGAAAAAAACGTAACTGCAGAAAAAACAAAACTAAGTGAAACCTAATGCTATGACAAATATAAGAAGTTACAAACAAGTACAAACAAGACTTTGATAATCACACCGGTACGGTTTAATATTTTATCCCAGGTATTTTGAGAATGGATCTCTGGAGCCAGGGTAGCACTCTCGGGAAATAAGCGGCCCATTATTCTCCTCTCCCCCCGAACAGTCTCTACTCGGAGAGGACCGAGAGAGAGGAAATTTGTTATAAGAAAAGCGTTTTGGAGCCCGTTACAGGCGTTCAAAAGGTTGACCGCGGGGGACAAATAGAGCGAGCGAAAAAACAAGGCTGAAAAAAGGGATTTTTTTGCCTCCTTTTTACTTCGCGCCTCTCCTCATCTGGACGCCTGGTACTTTGCTATTCATTTTATTACAGATTAGCTCACACTAGACACGTCTTGTATTTTCAGTGATTACAGTGTAACCTTGAAATAACGAAGGAAAAAGGGACTGGTAAAATCTGTTCGTTGTGACTGACGAGGTTTAGTTACATTTATATAGAGGTTCCACTATATCAGTGCTTAAAGGGACTGGTTCACGATAATGCGCATGCGCGCCGTTTGTCTCTTCAGAATAAATTTGTTGGGTCAACACTAAATTCGAAATCGCCATTACCGGTACAATCATTGAAAATCCTTCCTTTTATTCGGACATCCGTCGCTTTGGCTGGTCTAGTTTTACTTCGGTAGTGGTGATTAACGTGTGGTTGTGTCGTTTGACTGGTTACGTTTTAAGAAGACGCAAAAAATAATGTTTTGATCATGGAGGTTGAGAAGAGCATCGTGGCCGTCTGGCAACAGGACGTTCTGAAGAGTCTTTGGAGATAGAGAAGCTTAGCCTATCGATCTAGTATGGTTCTAGGAGTAGTGTGTGGCATACGAAAAGAGTACACGACACTTGGAAAGTGGTTAAAGGCATGAGTTCGTTCAACTTTGATTTGATTTTTGACTCCGACCTGTAGTTATACCGCAACAGGCCGCGCGATGTTCACCGATCTGGTACACTTGAAATGTTCCTTGTATCTTTGCTTTACGATTGTATATGTTTAAGAATTCATGTTTTTAAAATAAATTATTGCCTGAAGATTCTGTTTATAATCTAGTTTCTTTATGTGTGCTACTCGATAACATTTGTTTTGCGGAACACTGACCCGATGCAACGCGAATGAATTTGTTTATTTGCTGATAAACAATTGAAATTTATGCTCAATTAAGGATAATCTTTATACTCATACGTTGTGTGTTTTTGTCACCGGTCAGGCGCTATTTGTAGGAATTCTGGGCTTATATAAGGCGAACTGAGAGAACAGTAATAAGATGTTTGTTTACAAATTTTGCTTGCCGATCGGTGATTGTTTTGTTAGCGTGGGTACGACCTCGTAAAAATACACTTTGGTAAATGTTTGTTTCAAAGCAGGACAGGGCTGTAAATCTTATTCTTATCGGCTGCAACATATATCTGAGGAGTAGCAAAGAATAAACTTGAATTATGGGGATAAATGAAATCAAACCAAATGCCCGGAAATACTCTCGCGTCGCGAACAATTAATTTGAATTTTGTAAATTTACTTGCGTGCATCTAACTCACTTCCGATTGGTTGAAAAACAATCCGCTACTGTCATAACTCACACATGCGCATTATCGTGAACCAGTCCCTTTAATTATAAAGTCAAACATCAAATTCATTTCGGCTGGCATGTGGTCAATGGGCACTGGGATTAAGAACATAAAAAATTTCTAGCTCGCGCTTTGTGCTCGAAAAAAATGTTGAGCTCGACTCATTTGTGGGCAAGTCGATCACGCAGTAACTTCCGAAAGTAGTTACCCTCGGAAGTTAGAATATTGATGGAAATATTTAGTACAAGATAACAGAGCACACATCTGTAAACTTAGTGAGCAGAATTTGAGTGGCTGTTACAGCGTAAACAATGAAATACTTGGTCTGGTGCAAGTACTCATTGAACCATAGTTTTATCAGTTCAGCAAAAAACTTTGAGCATCCTCACAGCCCCTTAATTGTCTTGCGCATGGAAAAAGGTAATCCGGTAAAAAGTTCGGGATGTCCCTGCTTTTTACACTCAGTCTGCATTTTACCCCTGGTCCGCAGTCTGCAGTCCGCAGTCCGCAGTCTACGTTTTACACTGACCGATTATTTAATTCGATGAACGTTGTTTGCTTGAGCCGGACAGGAACTATGCGTCATAAGATTCAAGAACACGCACTTCATTTACATTATGATCAGAACTGAGAGCAGTATGAAGGATTATCTGGGAGTGGTGGAAGGAATTAAATAGTACTCTAAGTTAATATTGACCCTCAAAAATCTTCGGGGTATGGTTATCTTCAGAACAATCCTTGTTTTATGCAGTAACAGAAGTATGATTCTTTCGAAAGCGGATGAAAGCTATTTAATTAAATAATGTTGAAAGACTAGCCGTAAAATTAATTTGATGCCCACTATGCAGTGTTCCTATAGGTAACACCACTCACAAGTTTAATCCTTTTTTAAGCCCTAGGTTTACTGTCAAGTTATTTAGCAGTGGGACATTGGGGAGGACCCAATACCGCAGTACCGTAAGAAAAATTGGCAAATACCAAGCCTGCAAAAACAGCCGTTTCCCCTCGCTCCTCGACGCTAAGGACGTTTCCGCGCGAAACGTCCCCGGTGTCAAAGAGCGAGGAGAAACGCCTATTTTCGCAGGCTACGCAATCGACGAAATACCGATACCGCATTTATTATCGGTCGCGCTTACTTAAAGTTGTATCCATGTCGCGTGTTTGTTTATCTCAAGCATGTAAACAACAGAAATCAACCTCAGCCATCGCGAGAAAACGTGAGAAGACCTCGAACTGATAGGTACAGCGATCGAAAAGCCCGGTCATAGGATGTCCTACAATTTCATCATAGAGCAACTGTCAGAAATTGTGTATTCATTTACCGTTAAGTCTAAAGTCTTCCAAATATTGACCTACATTAGACAGGAGAGGCCAAATGAACGGTACCGCAATACCGTGAAGGATCTTCTTTTACCGAATACCGTTAGGCAGAAGGATGAAAAACCGCACACCGCAGGGCTGGATGATACCGCAATACCGCCCATTAAAATCAAAATTACCGAAATACCGCTTGAAAGAAAGCTCAATACCGCAATACCGTAAACTGAACCCCGTGCCGCCCTCGGTTAGAGAGAAGTGGGTCGAAGTGTGGGATACTGGTAACCTGAAAACAGCTTTATATCATACTCTCGCTTTTAGAGCGTTTTCACTCACAGCAAATAAATGGCGTGTATGGAGTTCCAAATTATTCACTTGGCAAATAATTTAGAACTCCTTCATTTATTTGCTGTTGTTGAAAAACCACACTCAATGTTGAAATATATCCATTTAATCGTACGCTAAAAGAATAAAGTGATGTTTTTGCAACCCCCCCCCCCACCTTTGCAAACCAAAAATAAAATATACTTAATATAGCCACCAGTGCTACACGAAACAAAACAATCAGTCAGTCGGTGAATCTCTTTATGCAGTACTTCTGAAGGAGACAAACGAAGTACTGATAGGACGTTGAGTCTTCGTGTAGCGGCACCCTTCATACTGCTAAATATAAGCCAAGGGCTAAATAAGCAAAGATACTAGGAAATGGCTGACTTAACCAGAAAATAAAAATTGCTAAAAGGGAAAATAACAAGGTTCCCTTTGAAAAGATGGAAGCTGGTTATTAAAAAGCACATGTTCCTTCTCAGCAAATGGAAAAGAAATTAATTAAAGTGCACACCCATAAGCGAGATACAAGGAAATAGCTCATTTGTAGAATTAAACTTTATAGCATGATAGAGATACTTAGCGTGAGATCAAGCATGCGACGCGACAAGAAGCATATTAAGAAGGTTAAGTGTTTGACCGAACCAAGTCAGAGTGACTGTGACTGCTTATACCCGTGACTTAGGACACTGCTCAGCCTGTTGTAACGTAAGCATTAAAAGTTTCTTAGCGGTCACGAATAGAGCGATCGAACATTACAACAGTGTAGACCGCGACATATGATGAAAAGAAATTTATGAAATTGTGTTTCGTTTCAGTCCTTTGGCGCAATCACTGCATCAGGGAAAGTGCGTGCTGCATGGTATGTGACAGGAACTATTCGTGTAGCCGTTTGTAATCGAATCTTTACCAGATCATCGTGGCTTGTTTCAAGTTCTAAGTTTGCCGCAAAAGGCGGAAGAAGAAAGAAGAGAAGGACAAAATTGAGAGAAGCTGGGGAGGGATATTTGAGACACCCCCTCCACCCGTTTCCCGGCTTATAGAATTCACTTGTTTACTCATTCCACAGGAACGCTGGATAACACGGACCTTGTGGGGGGGTTGAGGGGTTATTTTGGGGAACTTTAATTCGAATTAGATGCTTCAGCTCTGACACACTCCACCTGTCACTAAAACCGTGGGCTTGTAACCTGATCTTTAAGCTCCAGTTGTTCTTCCTCTCATCAGACTACAAATTATGATTAATAAGCACAATAAGCAATTCTCAAGCTCTTTGTAAACTCATTTATAGTGATTACCCTTTTCTGACCTCTTTCCCGTTTAAAATAACAATTATAAGAGTTAACCCTGTGTCTTGATTAAAATAAAGCACTGTAAGGTATCACTAAATTTGCTATTGAACGTTGTTCTAGAAACAAAAGGGTCACCTATGCTGTACCCACTGGGCGAGCTTTAGAAAGACAGACGGTATCATTTGTAATCCTTATTGATTAGATGTTCATAAAGATTGCTTTGTTGTGTAGACAGTAACTTTGACTTCTAAACATAAAAAATGCTATTTCAGGTTTTTAAATTAAATTCTTCATGCTACCCAAGGTGAACAGCAAAAGCAAAATTAAGAAACAATAGCGACAAGTATATTAGCGCATTAGATCATATTCAAATGTTATTTTGAGCTTTATAAATAATAAATTATTACTATTATATTCCAATAATTATTATTTGGTCCCCGGGGGGGTACTCCCTTGTATATTGTATAAGCCATATAGGTGTGCGCCGCTTCATGGTTTTTGATAGAATTTGCCCATTTTGGTTTGGAATCGGGTGTGGTTTTCGAGCGAACGACGGGAATGTATGAACGTATGTGCCGTTTCAATTCCAAATGAATAAGAAAAAAAGTAGTAATGCGAATTCGAATTTAAGATACATGTATCTTTTTGTAGGCCCTTATCGATTGTGCTAGTAAAAGTAGCATATTTTACAAAATTGCCGGATTTTTTTTTCAAAATTATACTCATTTGAGCAAAATAATGCTGAATTGTGCTTTCTCTTTTCACTTTAATTTTGGTAAAAACACGTCAATAACTATACATCAAACGAGTAAATGGCAAACTCATTTACTATAATAACATCTAGAAACTTTGGGAGCCGTGCTTAATTCGTATGTGTAGTATAAGTATATGCAGTGATAGATGAATGTAAAAGGGTATAAACTACTGAAACAACAAAACTGTCTGGCTTTTGACAACTATAAAACTCAAACAATTAACGATCAGCGCGCGGTCGTCACCTTGGGTAACCGAGCTAGTTATGAGCATGCGTTGAGTTCTGTGAAAAGAATCTTAGATCACTTCCTGTGGGACCCTTTAACGCTGATCTCGGGCCAAAAAAAATTGGTTGCATGATTAATAAATGACACTTTTCTTAAATGACACTTTTCTGCTTCAAAACTAGCCCAAGGTGCAAATTATTCTAGCAATGCTTTTTTGCAAAAAGTAAATGAAAATTAAGCTTTTAACGGACGAAATATGCCAAAAATTACGCTAGCATCGAAAAGAGCCAATCTTTTTCTTGGCGTTCTAATCAAATTAATGATGACATAATTTCTTAAAGGGTAGATCTGGAAAAGCGTATGGATTTTAGAGGCTAAGTCTAAAGACGGGTGCAGAAAAGTGACATTTTAAAGTCTGAAACAGGGTCAGGGTTTGAAGAATCGGGCGACACACCCCCACTAAGAATTCCCAGGAGTACCCTTCGGGTTTGTTACATTATAAAGTAAATATTTTTTTTGAGAAAAGTCAGAGTACGTGTCTAACTATATCTGTGTACATGTTCGATTGAGATCCTCCAAATGCTCATGTAAGCTATGATTACTTTATTACGTAAACTAAATTCATCTGGATTCCGCGGTGAACGCGCGTCCCCGCACGTCTTAAAAAGGTATGTACGTGCTTAGGGAAGTGCTATATTCCTTTAAGAATGCGGCAAATAAGTTTTGAACCAAACACATGAAACAGGCCAACAGATAGTATAAAAGTGATCATTCACCTTCAGTCAAACAGTTGGGAAGTTTGTGCTGAAAAAAAAAAAGAAGATAAGAACCACAGATAGTGCTAAAGAGGAGCAATTAGCTAAAATGGTAACTAAATCTTTACAAGTTGCCTCTGAATGACCTTTTTATTTATGGCAATATTGATTTTAATTTCCTCATATGCACCCGCAGTTAGTACTTTTAAGCTGTGGTGAATTTGCAACATTATTGACCTTATTTTGGATTTTCCTTTTCTTCACCAGGAGTTCAAGACTTTCACTCTGTACTTTGCTGTCTTTGTTATTGTCACGCCACGAGCAACAGTTTGTAAATGCAGAATAGACGAGAAAAAGGTAAGGGGGAGATCTCTTCTATTTTCATGAAAATATGCCCGTTGCTTTTTGGATTTCTACTCGTGTCCAGTTCTTGCAAGGCTCGGTAGGTTATTCAAAAGTGCAAAACAGAACAAGCCAAATCTCGAACGGAAACTTACGACTGATAAGACTTTCATTTACATCTTCCTTGAAGGATACGGTATCGAAGTACAAATGTAAATTGAAGGATGGAGACAAAGATCTCGACGAAACTATTAAAATTGACTCTAAAAAGGAAACAGAAACCTTTCAGACGGCAAGTAATGGCGGCACCAGCCCTGATGTCCCTGGAGAGGTCGAGGTTATTTATGATTTCAAACAGGTGAGTGAGAGGGGAGGAGTGGGAGGGTTAGGACATTGAAATATTAATCTTAAACTGCCGCTTCTTCACGATGATTGTTAAATATCGGTCAAGAAAAAATAGTTTGAAACTTATCTTTAAAGATGGGCGAAACCACAGGTAACCCAAGCTCACTATGAGAGCCCTTATTCTTCTTTTCTATAATTGATCAAAATGTCATTAATTTTTTTACCCTCCTACGCTTACCTTTAGATTGATAAGCACTCTGCAAGAAATTCACATAACTTGAAGTTTTTTATGACGTCGTTAATGTTTTCGTGCTTGATATGTGCCCTAAACCTACATATTGCTCAAAAGTTACTAAGAAAGGCAAAACTTGCTCGAGGGTCCTAGAAACGCAAAAAGTTGCTCCCAACGCCAAAGGTTGCTGAAAAGTTACCGAGCACAATCGGGACAGGCCTACAGCTATATTGAAAAGAATTTGATTTATTTTAACATTTTGAAGCTTTATTAAAAACCAGTTTGTCTGTTGGCATAGAACATGACCATGCACCGAATGTCAATTCAGAAAGCTTGTTTTCTGAGCGAATCCACTGATAATTTACCAAAGCCGGCTGATCTCAAGAGGCTGCTTGAAAGGGTGAGTACATTTAATTTCAGTCTAAAAGTCATTCAGTTACTTCATATCTAATGTATGTCTTTATCCCTCGCTGAAAAAGAGAAATAAAAATATGATTTTTTGTTCAAAAAGTTGAGTTTCGAATATCAACATGTCAAAGTCTCATGTGCTATCAGTTTTTCACTTTTTATTCAGAAAGGGGACTACTCTCTGTTTCTAGTTTTACACAATACTGTGATGGTGTCATTCTCAATTTCTTAACAAAATGAAAACCCTTATACAGTACCTTTAAACATCTTTCTATCTTCCCTACAGCAGTCGAATCAGGATAGCAGCCAGGTAGAGACACCAGGGGAAAATGAATATGCGTTTGTTGGTACTCTCGATGATCGTTCGTTCCTAAGTGATGAAATGGCCGCCGTCTGCGCTAACCTGCCCATTCACCTCATCAAACAGAAAAACCTTTAAGTCTAAAGTAATTTGAACTGTAATGGTGTCAAGAAGGAGTTTAGGTCAGTAAGAATTTTCTGAAGAGCTGATTTGACAACATTATCAATAAAAGTATTGGAAACAGCAACATCAAGAAAAACTGGCACAACAACTCAACCGAAGGCAGTTTATGAAGACATTAAACAGTGGAGGATCCAGGGGAGGGGCCCGCCCCCTCTCCCTCCCTCCCATCCCCTTTCCCCTTATTTCTAGACGAAACTGAGGCCTGAAAGGCCGAAAACAAATGTTTTTGAGACCGTCCCCAGCCCCCCCACCTGAAGTTCTGGATCCACCACTGTAAAACACCACTTGTTCCTTACACTTCACTGCACTTCAGACCGAAACTGAATTCAAACGGATTTCACCTGAAAATAATGTGACTAACAACATCATGACGGCAATACTAACAGACCTTTTTATTGCGTTATTTTACAGGAACACAATGCGCCTGGTGTTTCGGAATTTGCTATAGAAGGTGTTCGGGCAGATTTTGCTGGAATATTAGTGTGTTTCGTTGTACTTAAGGCTAACAGAATTTAAACTTAAGTGCCGCTATTTAGTGTCCGGTGATTCTATTATATAAGCTGCAGTGAGGATCTTCAATTTACTACAAGCTCTTTCTGATAATGAGTAACGATATTTTTAAAGTACTTGCCCTCACCAGCTCCCACAGAAAAACAAGAAAATTAACAGTGAATTAAATGGACACAACTTGAAGCGCTTCAATATGATATTTGACCTAAGCTGTAAATAAAATTTGTGTTTTTAACCTTGAATTGCTCACCGCAGTTTTCGATAGAAACGATTTGATTCACAACGCCAGTGGGTTTGTAAAACGCATCGCCCGAAAAAGTAAAAGACCATTTTGCAGTCGTAAGCTTGGAATCCTAGCCTTTAAGTGAACGCAAGGCTTAGGTTGACCATATTTTGATACAAACCTCTTTCCTTTTTTTGCGAAAATTATGCTTCAAAAATAGTTGTTAGCGTAAGAACAACATGATTTACATGATAAAGCAGGAAGGGTTGTCCAGCCTCGTTTCTACCTGTAACTGTAAAATGGTCTATTCTAGAACAGAAGAGTTGTTTTAAGTGATTTACTGTCAACCTTAACTTAAGGAAGGGCTTTTCGTACCACAAACCTCTGAAGTTGCCGTTAACTTACAACACATTTGATTTTGTATTGTCGAAAAACACGGACCTAAAATTTAATATTTTTTTTGTACTTGACGCTGGTTAGATACTCAAGTTAAAATTGTGCAAATTTACAAACAATGAGTATAAATAAAGCCCCTTAATAGACATTATTATTCATTCAAAAATATTTCCCCGATTCTGATTGGCCAAAAGCCCACGCATAATTCACCATAACCAGCTACTGATGACCAAATTTGGAAGAATTTTGCGTTTAACGAACCAATGACGTCAAAAGTGCAGCCTTCTTGCAGGTTAATGCACCGTTAACCGAGAAGACCTGGGAACGAGGTTGAGTTGTTTTGGTTGTGAAAACAAAAATGGCGGACATGGCACTCGTTCCAAGAGTAAGGACTAGGCGAAATAATAGCTAAAAACATGACAAGAGCAGCAAGAAGACGACTCGAAGGGCGACATCTGCTATTTGTAGAATATTTGCGGAGCCGAACAACCCTAAACATGCACTATCGAAGATGAACTTAAAATCAATCTGATCGATGGAGGTAAGCATGATTTAGCTATGTTTTTAAACTGGGAATTATTTTGAATGAATAATAAAACAATTATTGAATTTGGCTTTCGTATCATATGAAGAATTATGGAGATCTCGGAGGGTGACCCTCCTCGATCTCCATAATTCTTCATAAGTTACTCAGCCTCATTCATTAATTGTTAATTAACAACCATGTTTGTCCTTTTCGTATAATCTCTGAATAGGCTAAGAAGTATTACAGGGGGATCTCACCATTTAAACAAACCACTCGGGTGGAAATCTTGTGCATAAACATATATAAAGCTTTAAAATTTGACTTGGTGGAAGAACGTCCTACTACTAAGTATATCCAATTGAGCTGAACAGGCTAAAAAGAGCAGGAAAACTGCATCGCCACAAATCCAGCCCATATTTTCCCAAAAGGAATGGCGCGAACAATTTGATTTTCAAACTGGAATTTCCGGTTTTTCCATGTAAAAGGTAAGTACCCAAGGTATGTATATAACTATTTTCGACAAACTAAACAGAAACGTTCATCCCTCTATTGAAAATGATATCAAGTAATACGGGCGTTTTTTTGTGACGAGCCACAATAAGTTTTTTAAAAGAAGTTGTAATTATCTTATATTACTAGTTGACAAGTTTTCTTATAAAGGGACAAAATTTTAGTCTTAGTTAAGGCTGCTTAACGGCTTTACATCCAAGCGAAAAAAAAAACATGATTTAGCGATGGTCACATTTCGTAATTTCCTCTAACATATATTAAACAAGGAACTTTTAATCGGAGGCTAAAAAAAGGAAAACAGTTCCCTTACGCTCGTAATCACTGTTATCGACTGTGTTTTCTCTAGGCCGTTTTAGTGGCTGAACATTCATTAATTGTAGGGTTTTGTTTACCGACCGACTTTTACTAGTTTTAAAAAACTGTCTTCACTGTGAAATTTAACAAGCAATCTAGGCCGCTAACTCACTGGATTAAAATAGCAAAAGCGCGCCACTTCAAGTTCTCTTGTGATTATTCTCGCCTTATTTTTGCGAAGGAGAATGAGTTCTATTTAGTGAATGAGGCTTATGTCTCGCTCCTTGTAGAGGGAGACGGATGAGGCTTGAATGGTAGTGGAACTACTTGTGATGGGTTGTAATGTGGTAAATAGTTCTGCACACTAGCGCTCTGAAAAAGATAAGGACTTGGGCGAGAAACTGGAGAATCCAATGGGGTCGGTGGGATTGTAAATCGAAAGAAATGACAGTTGGAATAGTTTGCCATGTTAAAGTTCTCAAGCCCCCCACTTTCGCGTCTCCGCTCGCAAGCCTCTCGCGCGTCTACTTTTCACGATATCCCCAAATGGAGAGCTTGCTCGCTGGCTACTATAAATCCGGGTGTATACACAGCACTGAAATCAGCTGTTAAAAAAAATAAACAGAATGAAAAGGCTAAACTAGTCCTGTTACTTGTTTTCATTCTAAGATGACGGCCTCAGTTTCATTTCAGTGAATTTAAGTGAAAGACCACTTCTGAAGTGCTCCCACCGGGCTCCGCGGTAATCGTGTTTGTTTCCCAGGTAATTTCCATTTAAATTGGAATCGAAGCAACTCTTGTACCACCAGGCACCGTTGTATTCCACAGCACAGTTACGAGAGTCAATGTTATTATCTCTGTCTTTTGTGCTAAACGCCATCTTATTATGATATGCTAACGAATCTCCCGCTGTTCCTGAATATGAACCCACTTCAAGTCGATACTTCGCCTGCTCATCACCAATGTTAAACTTGCCATATTTGGCGTACACTCTAACTCCGTTCCAGTCCTCTAGCTCCACTCGCAGAGTGCTGGGTCTAGCTGCTGTCAGCCTGTGGATCTTATCGTTTCCTAACCAGAACTCAGCCGTCAACTGACCAAAGCCTGATTTATAGTCATTCCAGCCGCGATAGAAGTCTACCGTGCCATCTTTTCTTCTCTGGAACACGGTCCAACCTCCACCATCAGTGCGCATGTCACAATATACATTAAAGGATCCTCTTCCATCCGGATTTACGGAGTATACTCCATTCCGAGTAAAGCCTGACTTCAAGAGATCAGAGCAATCTTGGAGGGAAAAAATGAGAAATGCTCTATCAAACAGAGGTGATTCTTAAAGTACTTATTTATAACAGAAGAGACTAAGAAACGTGTTAACGAATGAAATGAATCACTGCACAGACTTGAGGTTAACAAAAAATTACAATCACAATTACAATTATGAGAATAATGCTGATTTAGTTACCTGAATTTTTATATATACAGTGAAACCTCTATTAAGCGGACACCTTCGCCCAATGTTTGTTAAGGATCAACATTCAACTGTTACTCTGTACTGTTATTAAGTTGCATATTGTTAAAGAAGCTATCCAGAGTTCAAGTTCATTACCTGTCATATACCAACTTTAATTTGTTTGTAAATGCAAAAACATTAACTGACTTCAGTACGTATTTCAAGGACGTAATTCAATACTACTATTGTCAATTCAGTCCGGTGTTCGCTTAATAGAGGTTTTTAACAAGAAAAATTAGCCAAATGCAACTTATTTTAGTGTCCGCGTCCGCTTAATAGAGGTGTCCACTGAATAGGGGCTCGTTATAAAGGGAAATATCTGACTTTCGTTTCGGGCCCGGCTTAGTGTCCGCTTAATAGAGGTTGTCCGCTTAATTGGGGGTCCGCTTAATAGAGGTTTCGCTGTATTTTTATCCTTATATTATAATGCAAGGTCATGATCACGGTCAGTTAAAACCCTAGAACAAAACTTTTGGGCCGCTTCCCTTGCTTCCAACTCACCAATCCGCAACAATCCTTCCATGTTAATTAGATTAAATGCAGTAATGGATAGTCTGGTGGGTATTTCTTAATAAACGATTACCCCTTAAAAAGGACTCCAAAAAAGGTTTGGAAAGAACCACCTTTGTTTAGTAGCTGTTCGTTTTTTCTTAGACACATTTAAAATATTGTATTACGCCAAAAGTTCAGGGTATGTGAGGCTCCCGCCCGGTTTTAATTTTTAACACGCTTGCTGGTACGTACTAAAATGTATATAGACTGCAACTAACGTAATAATTCCTTGAAAAGAATGAGTGTATCTCAAACTAGTTCTGGTAATAAACGGTATCCTCGTTTACCTTTAGGAAGCAGAACATCGACAGCGGTGACAGTTTCCACGTCAAACACCCCTGCACTTGTTGCAGCACAAATGTAATTCCCTGCATCTTCCTTTTTAACGTTTCTGATAAATAACCCACCATTAATCTGCTGGCTACGACCGACTGGGAGTTGAGCTTCTTGCTTCTTCCAGTTCATGATTGGTTCAGGGTCGCCAGTAGCGCTGCAATTCAAAGTTAACGTTTCGCCAATCAACACAGTAACTTTCGCTGGTGGCTTCACAGCAAACCGAGGGAGGGAGATCACAACTAAGACAGTTCGTTTGACCACAGTTCCTAACAAGTTAGTTGCAGTGCAGAGGTAGTTATCAGAATCATCCTTACGAACTCCAAGCAGTTGGATGGCACTGTTGTTACTGTGTACCCTCCTTTTTGGTAGTCGACCAAATGACTTACTCCATGTGACCAGTGGCGTAGGATAGCCAGTTACGTGGCAAACTGGCAGAGTTACATTACTTCCTTCAACGACGTAAAACGGTCCCGGATTAAGAGATATGGAAGGACGAACTGCAAAACGAAAGAATTTCATGTTACGACGACACTTTTACGTGAATATCTATAAAGACCGATTTAGACGGTACGATTTTTGCTTACGACTATATATTTATACGCGATACGTGGGACGACTGCACCGCAAGCTATGCACGACTAGAATGCATTATGACTTCACGACCGATCATATCGCGTAAACTAGACCCACGACATTGGTACAACACATTGCGGATGTCGTAGGTGAAAATTGTGCACGTGTGAATGGTCGAAAGTCTTGACGTATGCTAGTCGTGCACGATAGTCGAAAGCAAAAATTGTACCGTCTAAATCGGCCTTAAGGTTTCCCGTTTCCTTGCACTAGCGTCAAGTAAATGGTCAAATATCTAGAAAATAACTTCAGTAAAGTTTAACTGTAATGAAATATCGAAGTAGTATGCACGTAGAAACTAGTTAGGAATACCTGCAGCAGTGGATAAAACTTGAACCTTTCCACAACGGCTACCTTTGGGACAGAAGGAATGTAATGTGACACCTTTTTTCGGGGAGTAAAACATGTTCATTGTGCCAATTACAGACTTACTGTAGCTTTAAATGGTGATCCAATCAAAACAAAAACTAGCGAGGTATTCGCCGGAAAAAAACGGCCTAAATTAGTGACTAGTACTGGGAGTCTAAAAAATGAGCAAAACAAAAAATGTTCTGATTCTCAGCCTGAGATATATACATATTTTAAGTATGTTCTAAAAATGAATTCGCACAAAAAAATAGTATTGAAGTGAAAGAATTGCCGCAATTAAAAATCTACGAGACGAAACTTGATGTTTTCATCAGTTGCTGAAAAAATCTGGCCGTTGTTGAGTGAAAGATTATTTCGACAGTTGGGGACGCACGCGCTGTAATGGCCCTTGCCGTTGTAGAGAGGTTTGAACAAAAGCCATTTTATGGACTGTCCGCCAAGATAAAACAAGTGGCCGTTTTAGAGAGGATGCCATTAGAAGAGGTTCGAGTGCATACTTCACAATCAAATACACGTTGGCATTATTGACTTGGTATAAAGACGTGCTTCGTGCAAGAGTAGTGAGTGACGTCCCGCCGCAGTCAGTTTTCGTTACATGCTAATAGTAACTGAAACATTAACAAGGATTTCTTCAAAACAAACTATTGATCGTGAGGCTGTTTAAACATCTGTATCCCTCACCTTGTTGTGTTCTTTGCCCTTTTAGTTGTTTTAGTTTTTTTTTTTGCCAAACGACCGACCAGCCGACTTTACCTTTTCTCAAGAGAGGATAAAGGGGACAGAGAACACATCCCCCATACACACCCTATTCCATAGGTAATTTGTCTCGAGTTATTTTTAAGACCATAGATCCCAGGGGGGATTAGACAACAGCCAATCACGTAGCGCGAATGTGTTCCGCGTGGTTGACCCACGCTCAGAGCCACGCGTCCTTCACGAATTGACGCAGAAAAAAATGGCAGAAGACGAGGAGAGCGATATTGCTATTTGTTTTGTCGACGAAAACGACCAAAGAGAGATTTCTGCTAAAGCTGTGTCAGCGAAACGGAAATTAAGATAGAATCATTTACAATTTACAGTTTGAAGAGAGCAATTTCTGGTTTGATATTATTCTTTTATTAGTCTTTTATTATTCAACAAAAATAATACTTGGCGTCCTACTTGCTTTATTGTACAAACGATCGGTTTCAGTAGACCGGCGAAATTTCTCATTTTATTAAAGCACTGAGGTTACGACAACTGTACAGTACCGCAAATGATCCCCAACCGCAAATGATCCCGAGACCGCAAATGATCCTCAAAATGGACCGCAAATGATCCTCGACCGCAAGTGATCCCTAAAGTCGACCGCAAATGATCCCGTGAAAACTTGAGGAATGGAATGGATTTTATGGAACTGATTGCGAAAAAGGACTGATTATAAAAAAGAAACCTTTTTCTCTCGCCTTTTAAAGAAAAAGGGAAGGAGGACGCTACATCTCAGGTCAATTTATACAAGGCGAAAAAAAAATGGAATAAATCTGAAAAGGTATGGTATTAACCGTATACTTCTTCCTTTGTCGATTTTCTTTCAAGAATGTTTCGTCTTCTGAAAAAATTAAGACAGGCAGGACGTTACGCAGAAAAATTATTTAACGCCTAGAAGCTCAACCTTTCTATTGAGGAATACAAAGCCGGGCACCCTCTACCTAACAAGAGCTTTATTGACTTTACCGATCTTTTTGAAAGCGTGAAATTAATCAGCCAGAATATTTCATTTTGATTTTTCTCTGAAGTGTTAATTTTACGTGATAAACAGCAAGACATTTGTTCGTAACTTAGGTGTCCGTTACGAAACAAGACATGATTTAACATAAACACAAGTCAAAATGCCCCCGAACTTATCAATGTCCACAGGTTTTGGTTTATTTCGAAATAGCAACTTTCTTACATCTCATGAACGTGTTGTGAATAGTTATATTAGCGTTTTTATGTATATTCATTTGTTGTGCTTTGCTGAAGACAGTTACCAGAAATCTAAACCTGGTAATGAGAAACGCAAAGCCAGGTCAGCGGTAGTTATAGCGTGACAAAACATCGTAAGAAACCGTCACATTCACGTACTAAAAGAAAATCGCTTATGATTATTCGGATCCAGGAGGCACTTAGGAGAAAATTGAACAACCTAAAACCCTTATTTAGCGGCAATGAAGAGCACTGCATTTCAAAAGAGGTCAAAGGAAATGCTCTTGCATCAAAGGGCAAATCATGCCGACCAGAAACAACAATAACCGCAGAAAATGCGTGTCATGACCTCTCACTATGAAATAAGCAGCAAAAATGACATTTGCTCAGTCAAAACGTTTTCTTCAGAGGTATAATCTACCCGCCAGAGCCGGAAAAAAGTCATTGGAACAAGCAGCATTTTAGCATGAGGTAAAAGTCGTGTGTCGCCTACCTACTTCCTTTTTACTCCTGAATAATTTTTTTCATGTAGTTTTTATTCAGATATATTTATTTGAGAAGTAAAATTTAGCTTTTAACCTGACTTATTGTAATAATAATAAAATCGACACCATGATCAGCTAACTTGAGTCCAAGTCATTCCTATTTTTCTTTCGGGATCATTTGCGGTCGACTTTGGGGATCACTTGCGGTCGAGGATGATTTGCGGTCCATTTTGGTAATCATTTGCGGTCTCGGGATCATTTGCGGTTGGGGATCATTTGCGGTACTGTACACAACTTCGAGTTAAACTGATTTCACGGGTTGTCAAAGAGTCTAGCGATTCCCTTTTGAGCCCCGACTCATTTCGCTTCAATGTTGAGAAATGCTCTCGATCTCTTTACACTTTCATTGCCTTTCGCCGACATGTTTTGCACGGCGTTTAGTCATGCGGAACCTTCACGACACATCCAAGCAGCGCGCGAGGTAACTTTATCTCGATTCTAAAAATAACTCGAGACGAATTACCTATGGAACAGGGTGTGTATGGGGGATGCTTTCTCTGTCCCCTTTATCCTCTCTTGCTTTTTTATATGATTGTGGTCTTATCCACTTTAGTACATGAAGACAATGTAGGGATAAAACTGACAAACATCACGTTTGGACTAGTTAATTACCAATGCAAGGTTTCGTCACTCTGTCCATTGCTTCCCTACCTAAAATAACAGGATCTTTTCTTCTTTGTTTTTTTTTTTTAGAATGAATAAATTTTTTATTTATATAGTGCTTTAATGTGCTTCTTTGCTCTTTTGACACGATGTGTCCATAAACTCACCATTCACTACCAAATGACCAACAGCGTGCGCCTGTCCCAAGATGTTTACCGCTGAACATTTATACACACCCGCATCACTTCCTTTCAAGTTCTTTAAGAGCAGAGTTCCTCCTGCAACCGCTGACTGGTTTATTTTTGATTGACTGTTCAACTTACTCCATGTTATTGAAGGCCTAGGATTCCCAGTAGCTGAACACTTAAACTTGGCTGATCCGCTCTCGTTTACAGTCGACCTTCCTGGAGAAACAGCAACAGAAGGTGCTGAAATTGATTCACCAGGCTCTCCTTTAGATCCCGACATGCCCGCGGGCCCCATGTCTCCTTTTTGTCCTTTAGGACCAGCTTCGCCAGCCAGCCCAATAGGTCCCATAATGCCTTGCTTGCCACTTTTTCCTGGTGATCCCATGATGCCTTGATCTCCTTTGTTTCCAGGTTTCCCTCTGTGTCCTCTTCGTCCCCGGGCGCCTTTCTCTCCCCTCGGTCCAGGTGGACCTGGAGGGCCTGCTAATGAGCACGTGACACCTTTTGAGTGGCAAAGTTGCACTTTGCCTTCTGATAAAAGTTTGTTGATTTTATGCATCGTCAGCTCCACAGAATTTGGGCTGGTTGCGTTGATTGAATCAACTTGACGCCTATAGATTCCGTTTCTATGGGCTTTAAGCAATCGAAGCTCTAGACAGGCAAAAAAGACAAGTTTGATTATTGTTATACAGTGCGAATTATACCTAATATCTAGGATTATGACCTGAATTTCGAGGTGATAAACTTTTGACAAATCCTTTAATTCATCTTGCCTATTTCAACTGCCTATTTGGAATGTATTTTTTACTACCCTTTCTAAGTGCATGCATTTGACTTTTTTACTGCCCTCTTCACGATCATGAGATTAAATACCGTAGAGAACTTAAACAACTTTCAAGACGTTGACAGCAAAACTGCCTCTAATAAAGAACAGAAACACTCAAAAGATACGTTCCTTCAAATATCTGTTCCTGCAGACGGGACAGGGAAAATTTCCTTTAGTATTTTTCTCAAACAAAAATAATCACATTCAGTAGTCATTCTGTAAGTGCTACGTGGTAGAATAAGATGGAGATCGTCGGGAATTCTACAAAAATTCTAGGATTGCTTGTTTTCCTTGTTTTGTTTTTCGCTTCTTTTTTTCTGTTTTTTCGTCTGGCAAACTGTAGGTTTACCCTCTGGCTGGGAATTTTCCCATCCTTCAGGAGGAAACTGGGGAGTGAAGAAAAGGTAAATTTTTTCAGCATTTTCAGAAAACGGTTAAAATGTCTTCGATAAACACAATCTATGCCTTATTATGGTTATTAATTCATTTTCATTTTTGGGCAAAAATCCTCTTTATGAGCCCCTAAAAGTTTATCTCTGTACTTTTAAACTTTTAAACGTGCCTTCACGCGTTGCGCCTCGTTTTCGCTAGTTAGATTGAAAACAATGTCGATGGATCAAAGGCTGGTGGTTCATTTGAACTCTAGCTTATCCAATTAATCCTAAATTACAAGCCGGAATGCAAATAACTGCTGCATCACACTAGAAAGGTTAATCCTCATGTAAGAAAAGGGAGCCAAATTTGGTAGCAGAAAGTTATCATCAAAATCAAACTGTACAGGTCTGTACTGTACAGTAGAACTTGAAGAGGTGACAGACCCGTTAATACTTTTTAGCCAAAGAGAAATAGCGCTGACAATCCGCTGTGGCACTGCTCCAACTCTATTCTTCTACGGGCACGATATTATAATTTTGTTTCCTTTCACGAAGCACATCTCTACAAAATACTTGCGTATCAGGCCTTCTGAAAATAGATAGCTAAGAATGTCACAGTATAAGTGTAACAGGACGGTGCGGTCAGCGGTAGGAACGAGAAAGATTCAAGGATTTTCCAAAGCAATTTATTTGATCCCACTAACTTAAAAAGATAAGGTCAATTAACTGATTAAAACGATCTACCGAAAAGAAAAAACCACATGTACAAAAAGCTAATATCCGCTACGGCATTTAGGCAATAATATGTAGGTTTGCGGGCACACGTACTATCATTCCTAAGCGATGCACAAGCTTGCTAAATCAATCCGGAAAATTCCTAAGCGCAAAAATATTAGGAGCAAAATAATACAAAAAGTAATGCATTTCTTGATATAACTAAGAGTAGTGAAATTACAGGTCCAGTGAACCTGTCACATGAGATTGCATCTACGAATCCCGAGAGGTCTTTTCCGTGAAGGGAAAGCGAGATCATGGTTCAACTGTGTTTCTAAGAAAATCGTCGTATGCTTTCAAAAAAAGAGTTCCCTATATATTGAGTCGATAACCGTTTGTGTCGTTTTATGCAGCAAGAAAAATAAACCTTAGCGCTAAATGAGGCCGCATCACGGTCCGTTGACACCCGGGTGAGGAAGCATATTAGGTATGTACCGCTGTACGAAAGGTAACGGTTTTCATGCCGTTTAGTCTTGGTAGAAATCCGGGATTTTAGTTAAGAATAGGACATCATATCTTTGGGAAGTGAACACTGTTCAGTGAAGATTGGAGTTTCCAGCTTACAGCTGGTTGTTGGTTGGCACTGGATAGAGTAAGGTTTTTGTGAAAGGTCTAAAGTAGGACAGAGAATTTGCAGTTCAACGGCACACACCCACCCAAAAATTGAACGAGAGCACCCCTCAAGCGTACACACTTCAAAAAAAAAGCGCCCTGGAAACGAGCAAAATAAAATGCGAGTAAAATGTACTATGATCTACTATAGTTATGATGTATGAGCTCTATAATATGTTTTGGAAAAAGTGACTGACAGTACCGTAGCGACCGTATAGCTATATACTAGTTAAGTTAAACAGTAAACAGATAAACAGCACTTGAGATCAACAAACTTACCGAGAGAACTTGTCTTGGGTAAATCCACAAGGCTTGGTTTGAATGATGGCCGCTGCTCAGTCTGCCCATTGTTCTCAAGTGCGTTAATTCTTTTCTTCTGCTCATTTAACTCTAATTCCACTCTCAAAAACCCGGCACAGTAAAATACAATAGAGAAAAGAGAAAGAACACTGGCAAAAGAAGGAAAACTCTGTTTTTGCGTCACCATTTCAGACAATATCAACAGACTACGCAGACTACCGTTGTTCTTCGGTGCTTGGACTTCGACATTGAATTTGATACCGTGATCACAAGTGAAGTTTTTGTATATTATTTTTTCCCTCGGTTTGACCTGAACCAAAGTTCAAATCTGTTTTGGCACATCCTCAAATTGTTGGCATTCTGATCAGCGTTTATTTCATTCCTGTTTATAAATTCTCAGCAATATTATCTTTATTCACGCCAGTGCCGGGGAATAACTAGCGAGATTAAAGACATACTATTATCTAAAATCTCAGACTCTTCTCCGCTAATTTCTTTCTATCCGAAACCATAATTTTGATCAACAACAACAACGAGCTTTATTTGCATAACCATACAGTCAAGTACATGCTGTATTGCAAAAGCTATTTTAAGAACCAAAACTACATCGTAAGGCAATTAAGGTCCCTGGGAAAGAAAAGTAATTTGTCACGAAGATCAAAGCAACATGAATTGTACGATTGATAAAGTAATTAGAGGAGTTCATCAGTTCATTTATCAAAACGTTTACAGTTAACTGTGTAATATACTTGGAATGAGGCAGAGTCCTGTTTATAGTGTTCATCGTCATCCAAGCCAAGGATATTTGACCAGTCGCACCGCTCTAACATTACATCCATTGAATTTTGTGATTGTCGCGGGTATCTCTAAAGCTAACAAATTTCCTTCTGGGTTTACCAATTACTAAGGGTGGTACAATGACAACAAGCTGGTAAGATCTTACAAGTGCTTTGTGCACTGTTCCTTTTTACCAAAGAAACGGACGTTGCTAAGAAAAACATCTTAGATGCACTCCCCACCCCTTCCTAGTAGGGGTCAATTTGCATGGCTTGCTGCCGCATAAAGTCTTTGATAATCAACTGATTAATGTCACCAGCAGTCATGATCGTAGCGTTCGGATCGTAATCTTATTTATACAAGACATTTCCATCAGCGCATCAATCGTTATCAACTAACTATCTGTCTACTCAACTACGATTATGAACTGATAAAAATTTAAAGCAATAGATGCTGCTTTCCTTCGCTTGTAGGCCATGTTTAAAAATATTTAACTTAAAACTACGGTGATTCAGTTTTGTCTTGAAGTAATTTCAAAAGAAGTCCCTTGCCTTTATTCTGAGGGTGAGTTTTTCACAACTAAGTTCCATTGCATGAAAAACTTCTCTTTAGTGCTTAATCTCAGGCAGAAGAGGATCCTCACTTGTCACAAGTTCTCTCTCCTCCGCGGAGGCCTCTTTGTGTTGTGGGGAGGCTGGGGAGGGAGAAAAAGAGAGCGCGCGAACCACGTCTTTTCCCTCTTCCCATCGTGCACCGCGCTTTCTATTTTTTTCGATTATTGCTATTTTTATAGGGATACCCAGCGGGAGCCTCTGCGGAGGAGAGAGTCACAAGATTCATTCAAAGGCATTTTGATCTACCCCTTTAACAAGACAGGGCACCCAACGTCAATTTTCGGAAAATATCTGATAGGAAGACAATTTGAGATCCAGAATATTCGGAGCATTTGCTGTATGAAAAATTTCTTGCTTGCCTTCCTCTCCTAGGATTCTCGAACATCTAAAAAATGGCCCATTTTTAACGGATTTTTACCCTAAAAAGCTCACCTACAATTTTCGGGAGCTTTTTTCTGGCTGAAATTTTCGAAAAGGTAAGTTTTGATTCCTATAATTTTCGGATCACTAAACTTTCAGCTAGGAAATCCGAACAGATGAAAAATTTTTAGGGGATAAAAATATGCCTATATCTACCGTTTAAATACTAAAATACGTTTAACAATGCTATGTTTAAGTGGTTTTGAACTATATTCTCGTTGGGTGCCCCTGAATACAAGAGCGCAAGATATGAGACAAACATTAAAAAAATACAAAATTAAAAGGTTTATTAAACCTGAGTCCTATGACTGGTTTTCTATCTAAGATGAAGGCCTCAGTTTCATCTCAGCAAATTTAAGTGAAAGAGAACCTCTGAAGTGATCCCACGTGACACCTCTCTGATCACGTTTTTCTCTCAAGTATTTTCCGTTAAGACTGGAATAGTAGCACGCGTTGTACCACCAGGCACCAGAGCAACTTGCAGCACAGTTATTTCTCCATTTGTCATTATCTCTGTCTTTTGTGCTAAAATTCAGGGTATTATGATATGCTAACGAATTTCCCGCCGTCCCTGAATATGAACCCACTTCAAGTCGATACTTCGCCTGCTCATCAGCAATGTTAAACTTGCCATATTTGGCATACACTCTTACTCCATTCCAGTCCTCTAGCTCCACTCGTAGAGTGCTGGGTCTAGCAGCCGTCAGCCTATGGATCTTGTCGTTTCCTAACCAGAACTCAGCCGTCAGCTGACCAAAGCCTGATTTATAATAGTTCCATCCGCGATAGAAGTCTACCGAGCCATCTTGTCTTCTCTGGAACACGGTCCACCCTCCTCCATCGTTGCGCATGTCACAATATACATTAAAGGATCCTCTACCGTCTGGATTCACAGAGTACACTCCATTCTGAGTACGGCCTGACTTAAACAGATCAGAGCAATCTGAAAGGGGAAGAAAAAAAAATAAGACATCATTTACCATATGTACATACTGTACTGAAACAAACAAAGGTGAATTTTTAAGAGCACTAATTCGTCAAAATAATTCAGATACACAACAAACTTGAAACACACAGAATTATGGTTTGGCACTCGCTCCCAATTGCACAAAATTGAATCCCATGTTAGAGTGAATTCATTTGCAGCATTCGCGTAAAGCCATTGCAATTTCTCGTTAGAATTTTTTCATTTTTTCAAGCTCAGAAACATTCTTTGAAAAACGCCTATACTGCAAACGAATCCACCCTAAAGTAATTTGCACAATAGGAGAAACGAGTACAGCGCGATAAAGAGAAGACGTCATAAAAAGTAAATTTATGACATACGTGTATGGGTTTTGTCCGGATATTCTGGAATAACAAGATTAAAAATAAGCATTTTCCTGCAGTTTGATAGCGCAGTTACGGTTACAATCTGGTAAAACTCCATACAAATTTTCCATATCGATCGTTCTGACACAAGTCAAAGTTAGAAGGATTTGAATGCGGGGTTATCAGTAATCATAAGAGAACTAATATCTCATGGCCAATTTTCCCTGACAAACTGATCTTTGGCTGGGAAGCATTTTTAATCTTACCAGACCACTGATCTTGCTTTTTTTTTAAGATCTCAACAAATATCGTAATTTTAAAAATGTTACTATTCACCAACCTCGCTCCCAGAATTCTCTCCTATCCGTCCCTACGGAACCTGGGAACGAGGTTAAATGTTCATGACATCGCACTTCGGCGTTGTTACTATCATTTTCCATGTCATTGTCATTATTACTGTTATTGTTATTATTATTGTTATTGTTCCGACTAAAAAGAAAAATAAGATCTGACACAGACTTGAGTGATTTGAAAATAATATATATTCACCTCTAGTAATAAAAAAAATCTTTGTTTACCTTTGGGAAGCAGAACCTCAACAGATGTGACAGTTTCTACGGTAAAAAACCCTGCACTCCTTGCAGCACAAATGTAATTCCCTGCATCTTCCTTTTTCGTGTTTCTGATAAATAACACACCATTGATCTCCTGGCTTCGTCCAACTGGAAATTGTGCTCCTTGTTTTTTCCAGTTCACGACTGGCTGAGGATCACCGGTAACAGTGCAGTTCAAAGTAAATGTTTCGCCAATCAACGCAGTAACTTTTTCTGGTGGCTTTACATTGAATTTAGGGAGGGAGACCACTACTAAAACAGTTCGTTTTACGACAGTTCCTAACAGATTAGTCGCAGTGCATATGTAGTTATCAGAATCAACCTTACGGACCCCAAACAGTTTCATGACAGTTTTGTTACTCTGTACCCTCCCCGGGGGTAGCTGACCAAATGACTTACTCCATGTGACCAAAGGCGCAGGATGACCAGTCACGTGACAAACTGGTAGGGTAGCATTACTTCCTTCAACGACGTAAAAGGGTCCCGGATTAAGAGATATGGAAGGACGAACTGCAAAACGAAAGAAGTTAATATTATTAGGACGCTCATTAGTTAATAAAAAGAGGCAGGTTTCCTGTTTCCTGGCACTAGCACAGAATAAATGGTCAAATGTTCTTACACTAGAAATACGTGTTTTGCAGATACTCGCCTAACTGGAGGAGGGAAGGCCATGAGTTTAAAATAAAGAGGAAGACGTTGACTCTTGTAGAATCTATACCATAATAAGGGCAAGAAACACATGACCAGTGATGTGCGTATTGTAGTTAGCTGCGATTTGAATGTCAGTCTCGTACTTTTTTGGGACAACTGCTGATATTGTGGTGCATTCTGGGAGGTTTTCTATCGTCTGAATAAATTAAAGGACGTATTATGAAAAAGAAAAGAGATTCATAAACTCACCGTTTACTACCAGGTGACCCAATGCGTGCGCCTGTCCTAAGACGTTTGCCGCTGAACATTTATACACACCTCCATCACTTCCTTTCACGTTCTGTAAACGCAGAATTCCTCCTGAAACCGCTGACTGGCTTATTTGTAATTGATTCGGCAGTTTACTCCACACTACCGCAGGTTGAGGGTTACCAGTAGCTGAACACTGAAACGTGGCTGATCCACTCTCGTTCACAGTTACCCTTGAGGGAGAAAGAGCAACGGAAGGTGCTGAAAATGATTCGCCAGGCTCTCCTTTCGGTCCCGGCATGCCTGCGGGACCTGTATCTCCTTTCTGTCCTTTAATACCAGCTTCGCCAGGCAGCCCAACAGCTCCCCTGATGCCTTGCTTGCCACTCTTTCCTGGTGACCCCATAATGCCTTGATCTCCTTTGTTTCCAGGTTTCCCTCTCTGTCCTCTTCGTCCCCTGGCTCCTTTTTCTCCTCTCGGTCCAGGTGGACCTGGAGGGCCTGGAAATGGGCACATAGCACCTTTTGAATGACAAAGTTGCAGTTTGCCCTCAGATAAAAGCTTCTTAATTTTCCGCACCGTTTGGTCCACAGAATTTGTGCTGTTTGTGTTGGTTGAATCAGCCTGACGCTTATAGAGCCTGTTCCTATGAAGTATGGGGAATTGAAGATCTAGAAAGGAAAAAAAAAATAAACAAAACTGTTCATTGTTATAAAGTTCGAATGATACCGATAAATAATAATAGCCGCTCAGCAGCTATTAAATTTTATCCTGAGTTCATAAACTGCTTGAGAATCATATATATTTTTTTATTTGATGAAAATTTGTTATATATTCCCTTTCTTGTGTTTCTTTAGGGGCTGCCCTAACCCTCTGCCTTGTAGAAAATCAACAGAGCCTGCTTGATTATCTTCAAATTCGGTGGTTCATGCTGCCTCTCATACCCAGACTTCTCTCTCAATCTTGCACCTGTAGCCGATGGAGACTGGTTCGGGCTGGTGGTTCACCAGAGCCTAATCCAATCGCTGCATCGCCGAAACAAATTGTCGAGGGAAGGGGCAAAACGAATACAGTCTAACCTCAATAATACCGATCTCTCTCTTTCATGGGTAGTTATATTTGCCCTAAACATAAAAAATTGATACAATTTTGATAGAATTCCTTCCTCTATAAGCGGATACCGTAAAATTCCGAAAATAAGCCCCTCCAAATATAAGCCCCCCAATCCGGTAACGCAAAAAGCCCTCCGTTAAATCGCCCCTCCAAATATAAGCCCCCCGGGGGCTTGTACTTGGAAAAGTGCCCTCAAATACAAAGTAAAACAAAGCAAAAACGGTAAATTTACTTCTAACTATATGGTTAGCCCAATCGATTGTGAAACGTAAATTTCCCTCCGTAGATAAGCCCCTCCGAATATAAGCCCCTCCAAAAACAAGCCCCTCAAAAAGGGCCTTTGAAGAATATAAGCCCCGGGGCTTATTTTCGGAATTTTACGGTACCTCTGTAATGCAGACACTTGGCCTTGTCCCTTTCATGTCTGTTTTAGGGAGCTTTGATTGGGTAAAAAATATTTTACGTAGAAACTTTGGATGAAAAGACGACAGTATGTTACGAATGACCTCTGTTTATGTATGTGTAGCTAATTTCAAGTGGCAACATGCCAACTCGATTCTCCTCAGGGTACGATGAGCATTTCGTATCCTTTCTACTGGTTAATTTCAGTCACTAAGAATAGACTGACGTATTGGGTTTCTTATCACAAAACCTAACAGCACAGTTACATCTCCAAAGTTAAACAGTAAAGAAATCTAAAAACTTACGGGAAGAACGTGTCTTTGTTATCTCCACAACACTTCGTTCGTCTGATGGTCGCCGCTCCGTCTTTGTGTTGTTTTCAAGAGCGTTAATTCTCTTCTTCTGTTCATTTAACTCTAATTCAACTCTCAAAAACCCGGCGCAGTAAAATAAAATAGACAAAACAGAAAGAAAGCTGGAAAAAGAAGGCAAACTCTGCTTTTGAGTTACCATCATATGCAAGACTATCGACCGACTTCTTGGTTCTCCGGTCAGTGAGAATGGATATTTGATACAGGGGATATAAACAAGAGTAGGTAACTCGCCAATGTTTCTCTCTCGCCGATCTCTCGGTATGAGTTAGAGCAAAGTTCACATCGTTTTTGGCATATCCTCAAATTGTTAGCATTCTGAGAGTCTACAACGTGCCTAATACCTATTCAAAAAATTCTGTAAACGAAATTCCCTGTACTGCCAAGGAAAAACAAGCGAGCTTAGTCTTCTCCATGTCCATAAAACTCATTTCTTTACATTCGTTCTATCCTAAACCATTATTTTGATAAGCTCCCTATCACTCCAAAATGAAACGCACCGTATTCACTCGATTCATCGCCGCGGATGGAAGCAAAATTACCGAATAAACGCCGCAGTCAATCAGAAGAATGCGGTGCTTATTCGAGGACTAAAACAAAAAAACTCGGTTCAACTTTGTAATATACACCATCCAGACAACGATTGTCCCGGAGCAAAAAGGCCAGACATTAGAACGCAGACATACACATACGTAGCCTGTTCCAGGCTCCAAGATAGTCGGTTCGGCGAAATTGAGAATAAAGCGCGAACACGAAAATAAAACGGGAGGAAACTGGACAGAGGAAGACCGCCAACGCCCTCTTTTTCTCAGATCACGTGCTTATATTTTCGGGTGCCTTACACTAACGCGTCATTCCTACTATCTGAGAGCCTGGAACAGGCTAACACATATGGTGCAAAGACGGACCCATCCCGGGAAAAATAGAGCCTCTTCTCTCTCAAGTGGGAGGGTTCTGCTTTGCACAAGGTAGGGCAAACAATAAATCGTAGTTAAAGTCGTTCGTGACTAGCATGAATGTGTCACACCTTTATGGGCTAAAAATTTTTTAATGGCCTGCGTTCAGATGCCTTTTATATCCTTTGTTAGATATTTTTTGACCATTTACTTCCCATTTTAAGGTATCAGGAACTATATTTTCAAATTGCCTCTCCCGTTTTTTTATCACCCTGCTATCAGCAAACGCAAATTGGAATCCCTCAACAAAACAAGCTTTATTTACTTCATTTTAGCCTCTTTTCGAGAGATACAATATACAATAACGCGAAAACGCAATTATGACAAAATAATTCACGCGCCCTGACCACGCTTTTTGGCCATAATGACGCTGAATACAAAAAATTCAATAAATTATTTATTCGGTATACATTCTCTATTGCACACATTATTGTATTATTATTTATAACCTTCCTAATTATATTTCATATTTACAATTTGCTGCTAACGGTAATTATAGAACGAAAACACGAAATAGCATCTCATATCTTGAAGTACTCGCTTGTCTGTACTTGCTGCACATAACTTAAACCTCTATTTACGCAGACGCTACAATTCATATGTTAAGGCTCGACATTCGTGTACTGGTAGACTGTTCACAGTCCCATATTTTTCGTAAAGATCGTCGAGATCGAGCGCTTTGCATTACAGCGGCCATGCTGGTTTCAAAAGTACCGGGGGACGAGCGCCAGGGGTTAATAGCGGTAGGGAGATAGAGGAGAGAAAATGCCCTCCCAAACCGTCCCCCAACTCCTAAGTAGATGCGACGCTCATCTTCAGGCTAGACTAGGAACATTTCAAATCAAGACGGTCGCCCGTAACGCAAAGCGCTCGTTCTCGATGATCTTACGGAAAAATAGGGGAGTGAGAACACAACAAAAGTGAAACAAAAAAACCAATGATAAACAATTTCAACCAATCAAAGAATAGCTAGCTTGGAGCATGCGTTAGTTTCGTGGGTAAAGCTAAATTCACTGGTTCAGACACTCACTGCATCCTGCAGTTATTTCCAATATCTTCGGCGTACTGGTCAGATATGAACTTTCTTAGATTTTCCACGTCTAACCGAAGCTGTTTTACTCTATTTGTCTTGGATTTTATTGCATCAACATCATCGGAAGAGTCGTTAGTTTCATTTTCCCCTTCGTCGATCGTAGCTGAAAAAAGGAAATAAGAAATTAAAGAAAAGTCAAACCAGACGAAAAAAACACTACACCAAAAAGCATTAGCTAGACAGACAGGTCAAAGAAACGAACTCGTACATGAGAAAGAAGGCCCACCCCAGCTGTGGAAGAGGTTGGTCAAAAACTAGCTCGTAAATTAGAAAAGAAACTCGTAACAACTGTGGAAGAGGTTGGTCAGATACTTGAAATGGGTTTTTGTCTAATATTCACTCAGATATGTTGGCTTTCTAAACTCGGTTGCGCTTCATTTCTTCATATCGGTGTTTTAAGTAATATATCAAACATGAGATGCAGTGTTTCATCGCCAGATGAAACACCGAGAAGAGAGTTGAAAATACGACGCGCAGCGGAGTATTTCTGACGAACTTCGAGGTGCTTCATCTGGTGATGAAACACTGTGTCGAATGTTTGATATTTCTTCTCACACAAAATCATTTTTGAAGGAGAAATTAAGGATGCAAATACTAAGCAGTGCTTCATCCGATTTCCAAACACTCATTAAACATTAATTTCCTTTGTATTTTCTTAATGAATTATTAATGAGTTTGAGAACATTAAATGAAACACTCCTTCGTATCTTTAAGAGAGACATGATTACTTCAAGGTGTTCCGTTAAGTTAAGTAGTCTCTAAGGGAGTCAGACCTTTCTAGATCAAACTGTATCCGCTTTGTTGAGTGACAAATCTGACGAGGGATTAAACTTACTTCTTAAGCCAAGAAGAACAGACATGTCTGGATCTTTGCCTTCCTTTCTTTCTCGACAAACTTGAACCACTGCTTTGAGCTCCGAGGTACAGTCGGATAGCTAGGGTTTGAACAACAAAAAACTCTTCACTTGACTAAAAAACAAGCCATTAACATACAAATAATGAGTATCACTAAATCTACAACGGGGCGGAATAGTACTGAGCACTTCGGAAAAATCTTCCGCAGCGAAAACTTGATACAGTTCAATATCTTTGCTATCACCAGTGTAACGATCAAGAAACAGTGTACATTTTCACTATACCCATTCTATTATATTTATTTCCATTTACTTTTGAAAAGACAGTGTAACGCAATACAGTAAACAAGCACATAGAAGAACCTACTGAATTTACAGGAGCCTACAGGCTGCAATTTAGTACTGATTAGACCCCAGCACAATGAACTCGTTCAGGGCGCTTTCCAAAAGTCAGAACTGGCGGGCCGAACTTGGTAAAACACCATTTCCCTTGTGCATGCTATTTGGGATCTGACTGATCTGACTGGATAGTTTTAGCTGATTAAAAGTGAAATTTTCATTATTACTGGAATGGTCTGGCCGCTCAGTTTTGACAAATGGAAAGCACCCTCGGAGCCTTTTCCCTTACTTATGTTTTGATGAAGTTATAGGAGAAAATTCATGTTGGTCACTTTTGGAACTTAAGCGTTCGCTTCTGGAAAGTATCCGCCAAGCTTAGGTTCCACTGCATTAAATAATAAGTGATACCTCTTTCCAAAGAAGTCTTTGATTTTCCAACTTCTCCTTCGAACTTAGTTTTTTCAACTGTAAAAAAATAAACATATGTAAATTTATACAGGTAAATCGTCTATAAAAACGAGTTAAGGATAAAATTAGTTAGCAGCACAATGGACCAAAATCTAATGTGAGATACTAAATCACGCGGTAAAAAACCAGCCAGATTTAATAAAACCTAATAAATACCTGCTCACAACGGCATTGAAGATTTAAGTTCTCTTCCAGTAAATCCTGGTTGTGCGAAGCAATCTAAAGATATTCAGAATTAGTAAACGTGAGTTTAGAATGAATTCATCTTCAGCATATTGTTATGCCATTTTTTTTGGGGGGGGGGGGGAGGCAAACAAGGTGCATTATAGGGCAACTGGAAAGTAGAGAATGACGTTTCGAAGATGTCTTCGGCTTCATAAATAACTTACTTCCTTAACAGCTTTCTTCATTTCCTCCAATGCGTTTTCTTTTAACGTAAGCTCCTCCCGTAAAGCATGTACCATTTCCTGCCAACACATAGCAAACATATATACAAAACTGACCAAATTACACGAGTATGGAAAAGAAGGCACCGTTTTAGGATTGTACACAAGTCACCATGTGTTCAACATTTGTATGTTACCACAGTGAATGTTTGGCCAGATCATTTAAGAGTTCAAAGGCTAGCTATTTAAGAGACACTGGAAGGCGACACGTCATCTTACGTTGAATTTCCTTTTCTTACTTATTCCTACGATTTCCACACATGAAAACTGCTGTGTCGTTCGCTTAAGTTGGTATCAGTAAACGAGATGCTACCCTGGATACCAGAGGGATGCTTCGGAGTCGGCACAGCGTCGGCCGAAAAGTCATGAGACTTTATCGAAACCGGAAACGCCGCATAATAAGTCTCTGGTAACCAGGATAATGATCAGGGGCACCCAACGTCAATTTTCGGAAAATATCTGTTCAGAAGACGATTTGAGATCTAGAATTTTCGGAACAGTTGTTGTAAAATTTCTTGCTTGCCTGCCTCTCCTAGGATTTTCGAACATCTAAAAAATGGTATAATTGCCCATTTCTAACGGTTTTTTACCCTGAAAAGGTCATCTAGAATTTTCGGAAGCCTTTTTTCTGGCTGAAATTTTCGAAAAGGTAAGTTTTGATCCCTATAATTTTCGGATCACTAGACTTTCAACTAGGAAATCCGAACAGATGAAAAATTTTTAGGGGTTAAAAATAATATATGCCTATATCTCCCGTTTAAATACTAAAATACGTTTAACAATGCTATGTTTAAGAGGTATTGAACTATATTCTCGTTGGGTGCCACTGAATGATATGCCCAATCCCGATATACGGAGTAGTGTGAGATTGCTTACAATGCAGTTAGTAATAGTTTCAGTGTAATTAGACTGTAAAGAGTAAAGGTTTTAGCCGTGAATTCATACGATACTGCACGACGATCAAAATCTAAAACAGTGAAGTACTAGCCTGCGAGCAGGCTCAATTGTGCGAGTCCGGGGAAAATTTTTGGCGGCCAATGGGCCGATAGTCTCCCACGCAGCCGTTTTTTGGATGTCACGCAACGTTCCCCCAAAAGTTCTTTTGGGGGAACGTTGCGTGACATCCAACAAACGGCTGCGTGGGAGCCTAATGGGCCGAGGAGAAGTGACTTTTTCTCGCTGCATGGCGGCTCTGCCGCCAAAATAATTTTCCCCGAATTCGCACACGTGAGCCTGCTCGCAGGTTAGTGAAGTACTGGCACACCTCTTCTTGTGTGAGTCGTTCCTCCAGGTTGTTCTGTTCTTTCTGGGTTTGATAATGAAGAGCTTTCATCTTCTTGTGCTTATTCTCTAAAATCTATAGGGCGAAATAATTCAGACTGCTTTTAGTAACAAACTTCTAGAGTAAACCGGCCCTTAATCTTCTACCACTGCATGACTACTTGTAATTATTTTTGAGTTGGTTAGCCAGTGGAGCCGTTGTTCCCTTTCCAAAGCGCGGAAAGCACGACAAGAACTTCAAAGAGTCGCTTAGTAAAACCGAGTTTAGCCGGCGTTAAACAAAACCAAGTTCTATGCCACCAGCCCATGTGCATATCGATTACATAATCACCCTTTAGTTTACTGTGTCAAGCACAAACCACCCCCTCACTAGTATGGAACACATACCGTAGACTAAAAAAGCCCTTAATCATTTAAAATAACCCTCTTATTACCAATTCTGATACCTATGGATTGTCTGAAACCGTGATTTAATCGCTTAAATAGAATCTCATCGTATACCTTCTTCGTTCGGTCAAGCTCTCCCTGAAGTCTCTCATTTTCCATTTTTAAGTCTTCATAGTTTATAAGTGACACTGGACCGTCATTGCTGATTTTATCGAGAGAAACCTGAAGTCTATGAGAAGAAAAATAAAATAATATCAGTAATGGATATACAGTGTTACCAATCACTAGCGAATGACACACACTGAGAACAACACACAGTCAGAAGTCAAAGGCACGGCTCCAGACCAATCACGAAACCGTTCAAGGACTAGGGAGAGATCTAACAAGGCCGTGAATTCGATTGGCCGGAATAAGATTAGAATACGCAAATGTCTTGATCAATCTCTTCTACCGTGATCTTTGGGCCACTTAAAAGCTACATTCATCGCAATATTCTTTTCAAGCAGATTTCTAGACATTCAATGAAAGTCAAAACAAGTGATTTCTAAAGTTTATTCTCTTATTCCGCTCTTAGGGAGGACAGGACGTTGAAAGCCAAGGATGTGTACAGATCCACACAAAGTTTAGGTTGTGTGTTGAAGTTACCGTTCTCGTTGATTCCAACAAAAGGCAAACAGCTTAAATTCTGGACAAGGAACCAAGCCCCCCTACCCCTCAAACACACACACAAGCACCCTTCGAATAAATACCCTCCCTTCGACTCAGATAATTGATAAGCATCCCGGGCGCTAATTGCAGAATTAAAAGCAAGTATGTGCTGAATGTTACCTACTTTTGCACGTTTTCCTTCAATGCTGTGTTTTCTGCTGTTAACTTCTTCGCCTCGTCATCCTGTCAAATTGAAAATTGTCGAGAAACGTATAAAAGAGAGAGAAATAAAAGAAAATCAACTAACACGTCATAAACCTTTTCCGTGTCCCAGTTGTTCAAAAAGTGGACAGCGTTATGCACAGCGTAAATCTCTATTCAGTAGATAAGTATTAGGAAAACCAATTGCGTTATATTTACTTTGTTTCCAAAAGCCTTGTTCATGCGAGCCAATTTCTTGTCCTTTGAGGAAACAGTTTCTTTCAGTTTATCACACTGCTCACGAACATCTTTGAGGTAGAAAATGTTAAGGTGAACAAACATGTGCGAATTAAAAGAGAACAGTATTACAATCTACAGACTCAAGGTAATACAGTTTGCTAAATATTTTTAAAAATACTATGGACATACAGTCAAACCACGCCTTACGACCATTTCATTTTACATATAAATATTACCCTCAGGAGGTCGCATTAACGGGGTTCCACAACAATAGAGAAATTACGAGTCACGTTTACGGCAAACGTCAAACGTCTGATTCTAGTTGAGTTGTTCTCAGAATGGAAAATAAGCAGATAAAAACTGTCCAGAACAATTCTTATGGATAAAACTGGCGTGAAACTGCTTATTTTTGCGTAGAAGTAATAAATAGTAAACTAAAATTAAGGGGAAAACATGATCACGTCGTACAAATTCAAGTTTGCCGTTTGGAGTAAACGTGAATCTTAATCTCTCTAATATCTTCCTTTATTTTTGAGCTAATGGACGATGCCTTAAAATGATGCTAAAAATAACTTGATCTGTGAAAACGCCGTTGCATAGGCTAAGTACAGGAGTTGAACGCTCCGGATCATGTGCTCTTGTGAGTATTCAGTACCTAGTATCGAAAAATTGTAAATTAAATACACCTGTCTTAATTTTCATTTTGGGTATTCCCTGGCAAGTGTCTACAATAATAAGTACAAGTAAGTACGTAAGAACATCTGTATTGTTGTATTGATCAAAGGATATAGTTTTGTTCAACTTCTGATGTTCTTCAACAGTCGGTACATCCTTCAGATACCGTTCTAAGCTCTGCTTTTCACGCCTAGATTATAAAACAAAAGGCCTTCCATTAGACATTTCCAACTTCAGGTGCTAATACAATTTAAGGGTAACATTTTTTCATATCAGCTCTTTCTGATCTTGCAATCAAATCTTGAGTCCCCGTTGTTAGTGTTGTTGTTGTTGTTTTTTGTTTTGTTTTGTTTTTTTTTTCAGGGAGTCTAAGGGAGAAACAGAGTGCGACTTTACAAATAAAATTATAGACTGCGAGCAAGCTCTCTGTCAAAAAATCGGAAATCGGGTGAGTAGAATGTCACGCGCGAATGAGCCGCAAAAGAGACGGGGACTAAAAATTTGATAAGTGGCAATTAAAAAAAAAAAAAAGATAGCCTGCGTATGTGGGGGAATTGTTGTTGCGCGTGTAAGATATTTGTCGGCGTAGCCGTCATTCTCATAGCCTGCTAGGCAGGCACTTGGAAGTATTTGGACATAGGCTACCATTCTTACGGCTTTGCCGCGAGAAGCGAGCGCTGAAGGTGCGAGAAAATTCCAAAGCGTCGCCCCCCGTTCTCCTCACGGCTTCACAGCTCCTCTGCCAAAACTTTCCTCGCGCGAATGATCCCGCCGGGTACGTAGGCTAACTACAAGATTTCCCCCAAACAAGTTGCACCTTAATGTGGACTTAAAATTGGTAAAATAGAATGAAGAGCTAGATTGAAGAACGATACTAGTTGCATAATGTACGATTTTTTAACTCTGTGAAACTAAGATACTGGTAAGACACCATACTCAGGGCTGTGCTCTAGCAGAGCCCGGTGGCCCCTGGCGCCTAACTTTTGCCCTCGGGCGACTAGAAAATCACAGATTTTTCATACAAATCATACGCTGGGCACCCTAGATTTTACAGATTCAGAGGACTGGGCTCCCTTCAATTTTCCTTAGAGCACAGCCTTGATACTGATACAAAAGTAGTCTGAAATCAGACTACTTGTATAAAAGATGAATACGGCATCTTTTACTCGAACCTTGGCTCCCGCGAACCCCTTGTAACGAACATGGGAAAACAGGCACAATATTTGGCGCCTTGAACGATACAAAGATTTCTATTTGAAGTCTTAACTTCTCACTTTTGCATAGTACTTGTATACATGTACACTGCAAGCCGGTAACAAAGTGATAGTGTGCGAAATGTATCCAGTATTTACCACGACGATCGAAATACGACTGTAACGCTAAGCGATGTTGTTGAAGCCAATGTAGTGTTAAAAGTCTACAATGTTTGATCAAAGTGAAGTCATCTCTTACTTGAGCTTTAGCTTGTCCTCTTCTAGTTGCTTTAGTTTGCTGCTCAGCTCGGCTTGCGATTTCTCTTGTTCTACAAACTTGAACCAGAAAAAAGAATTGAGTTATAATATTCAAAATTGTGAGTCGCTTCACTACAAGGCTGTTGTGATGCAAAATTGTAAAATTCAATTCAACTGCAGCGCTGTAAACGAGCGAAATCCTTTCGAGGCCTTCGATTCAAATAAAAACAACTTTCATGTTGTACAATATTTGCTACAAAAGCATAAATAAAGTGAAATTTTATAATGTAATTTACTCCGCGCAATTATTCAAATTTGGCGCCCAAAAGGCAATCTCGTACACTGTAAATCAACAAAAGGTATTCAAAGTCTTAACTACGCATACATACAAACATTCTTCATTAAATATACATGTACATAGTAGTTTCTAACCTTTTGCTGCATTTGTTCCAGTTCCTGTCGACTGGAGACTGCAGAATCTTTGACACTGGCTTGCATATTCTCTAAGAGATACTCCGTCTCCCTGGAAAGATTCAGTAAATTTTAATATATTATGTGGTCAGCAGTCACGCAAGAAATCAGTACGGTCAGTCATGATATCGGCCTACGTATTCTTTACGGCGAAACAATCCTCTACGAACCTGTTTACCAGTGGAACTACAGGTCTACAAAAGCTGGACGTAAAAACTGAGAGTGAAGCATGGGACTTTGTACCGCGAGGGACTTGAAGAAAGTCTACAATTACATGTATTTCATCTCTAAAAGTATAATACTGTATACAGTTACGGATGCAACAATAACCGAAATTAAAAATGGTAAGCGCACATCGTTGTTTACTACTGCTAGAGACTGAGATTGACTGAGACAGAAGAACCTCCAACTCCGATCCAAGTACGGAGGTAAGAATTGTATAAAGTCTGTTCAGTTATGGAACCAAAGAATTGTTCATGATAGTGAAGTATCCGTGTTAAGAAATTGCAGTACACATATTATAATAAAAGTCAACACATATACATAAAATTGAGTGTAAAAACTGGTGAAATAATTTGATGGGTGACTGGGATGATGGTTTTCGCGACCAAGAATAATAACCTGAACGCGGGAGAGGTGTGTGTAAGAATAGGATATACTGAAAAAAAAAAACATTTGAAACAATATTGTTGAGCGTTAAGTCTTATTCACACCAACGAAAAAATGTCTAACAAAAACAGGTGAAATAAATAAAAATCTCGGACACAAAAGAGAAAGATTTTTGCATAGGGTTCAAGTGTAAAGACTTGGTTGTGATTTCAATAAAATTAGCTCAAGTAATAGTTTACCACATTAAAAATCAGTAGGCAGGTTTTATTTTGAACTGAGTTTAATTACATGTAGACGGATTGCTTTCTTGACTTTCTTCCATGTATCATTATTTATACTCTTACCCAAGTTTCTTCTTAAGTTTATCAATGGATGAGTCCTTTTCCGCAATGTGCGCTCTTAGCTGTGCATTCTCATACTGGCATTCCTGTAGTTTCAATGACAGTGATGTGTTATCTGGCACACTCTGTGTTCGGCTGACATGCATGTGTGTGGGCTGCATCGACTGTTGCACTGCTGGGTTTGTCTGATGAAGTAGCTGCTGCTGAAGCTGAAATATGCTTTGTTTCTGTCTGAAGAAAGGACAATTTCAACAATTTCAGCACACAGATTCTTTAATGATCAATATCAACGATATGACACAGGGCTCGAAGAAAACGTGACCTCTGATTGTCCTTTTGGACAAAAAGCTCTAGCAATTTGTTTGCTCAGGGCCATTGTCTCAGTTAATGGTTTAAAGGTACAAGATTGCCTAGACCCTTTCCCATTGGGTAAGTGAGCTTTAAAAATTTTGGCATCAAGGCTGTGCTTTACCAGTACCTATAGTGGCCCCTGGCTTTGGTCCTTGGGTGACTAGCAATTCTTAATTTTGACATAGAAACAGGGTGCAAAGTCATTTTTACAGCTTGTCATTCAGGCAAGCTGAAGCTAGCATTTACTAGCCCAAACGTCATTTCAACTAGCCCCAAAAATTTTTTGAAGAGCAGAATTGATTTCACAGTTCTTCTGTAAGTTGAATTCGTCGAAATACTTCACTTGCCTGTCGGGCAAGTTAAGAACAGAATTAACTAGCCCGATAGCAAAATCCACTAGCCCGGGCAATCAGACACGGCTTTCTTTGCACACTGCATAGAAATCATGCTGGGCACCCTGGATTTCACAGGTTCAGAGCACTGGGCTCCGTTCAGTTTTTCTTAGGGTGCTTTCCATTTGTCAGAACTGACCAGCCAGACCAATCCTGTTGCAATGATAATTTACCTTTTAATCAAAACTCTCCAGTTAGATCACTCAAATCCTAAAATAGTATGCATGAAGGAGATGGTATTTTAGCAAAAACTCTTAGAAAAAGCAGATTCTTTTTCAAACTGACTGGTCCAGCCATGGTCCAGCCGGCCAGTTCTGACCAATGGGAAGCGCCCTTAGATTACAACATTGTACATGCCCAGCAAGAAAATCTACTTGTCTTAGCTCAGACTACCAGAAAGGACTCTATCCGAAATCAGATCACAAAAAAACCTTTAATAATAAATGCTTGAATAACTTTGAAGGTCTAAAACTCACAAAGTTAGTCCCTTAGCTACCATGCCTCCAGTAAACATAATTATACACTGTAGCTTAATGCACAGTTCTTACCTGTCAATAATCTGATCTTTCTGGCCAATAAGCTCATCTTTAGCTCTCAAATATGAATTCCATTTATCACTGTCATCACTTGAAGGACTTATTGATCTTGAAGCTTGGCCAGATGAGTTTGAGTATGCGTCCCCTGAAATGCTAAGCGGGCTGTTACGAAGAACACTTGTACCCTCTTTGACATGTCCAAGGGGTGCAGGATATCCCATTGAAGTTGTTGCCATTGTAGAGGAGGTTGAGATCCCTGAAACATTATTGTATACAAGGAACAGAATGTTTCAGTATTGAATACAAAATCTGGCTGAGCAAACATACCGTAAAATTCCGAAAATAAGCCCCTCCATGTATAAGCCCCTCCAAATATAGGCCCCCTAAAATCATAACGCAAAAAACACTCCGTTAAATTGCCCCTCCGAAAATAAGCCCCCCGGGGGGCTTGTACTTGGAATTTGCCCTCTAATACAAAGTAAAACAAAGCAAAAATGGTAAATTTCCTTCCCACTCCAAGCTAGCCCAATCGATTTTGAAACGCAAATTTCCCTCTGTACATAAGCCCCTCAAAAAGGGCCTTGGAAAAATAAAAGGTCCGGGGCTTATTTTCAGAATTTTACAGTATACCATACATGTACCCTCAACTTTTTGTTTCATCATGCAATTTCATCTTTTTATCCCGCCGTTTTCAGTGAAAACTTTCAAGGGTTCTGTAGGTTTCCTCATAATACACAAGGCTGTACTCCAAGGAAAATTGAAGGGAGCCCAGTGCTCTGAACCTGTAAAATCTAGTTGCTGGAGAGAAAATGTTGGGCGCCAGGGTCACCGAGTTCTGCTAGGAAAATGCCCTGATACAGATTTTACCGTATGCACTTTGTATGCATTCCTCTAGATGCTTCCAATGACCCCTGGCAACTTACTCTAGACTTGCCTTCGGGCGGCAAGAATTAGATGCACAGCCTTGGTACATTTTAATGAAATATATCCATGAATATTGTAATGGGCAATTCCAGGAAATATCCATACCATACCATGGACCGCTTCCATATTTTATCCCCTCCCCTGGTCTTCGGACTTTCCAAAATGCGTTATCTGCCGTTGCAGAGCTTCAACAGTTTTCTTCTACAAATGTACACAAAAACATGGATTGTCTGATCGATCGATGCTTGTATTGTACCCGGTGTTGCCAGTGTTGCCAATTCATTTGCCAACTGAATCAGGCAATAAATAAGCGTTTTTGAGGAATAAACTCTTGTCTGTCTCTAAATGACCCCTTGCCTTTGGAATTCCAATCGTAAGTATCCCTCATGCCTTCAGATTTCCAGTTCAAAGAACCCCCCTTGCCCTTGGAATTTCAAAAAGCCATCTGTGGTATGATATGGATATTTTCTGGAATTGCCCACTGGATACACACATATGGTGTACAGAAACTTCTATTTTTAATAGCAGGCTGAACAGTATATGTTTGGAGAAAGAGCTGATTTTAAAGTACTTTCCTTGCAGATCAGTCCCCTTTGATCTTCCTAGAAAGTGCCAATTTATTTTCCGAGGAAGATTTCCGTTTTTCGAGACTCTGCTAACACTGGGTAGTTCAAAAGATGACTTCAATTCAAACAAACCTCCTCTTCCCAGGAGGTTTAGAAAGTCAGGATTCTGCTGTATTTCTTACCAGTATGCATTACTTGTTGACTGTTTTGGCTAGACATTCCAACTCCATGGCTGCCAGAAATTAATGTGGCTGCATTATTTAATGGCATTTGCTCCAAATGCCTTAGTCCAATGGTGTTCAAACAAGGATGAGATGTATTTGTTTGAACATGAAGTTCATTTATTCTTGAGCTAGATCCCCACTTTCCATGTAACCCAACATTCAGTCCCTGCATGCTCCGTAACTGACGTTCTTGATGTTCCGCAAGAAGTTCAGCTAATTCAGTTCCTTCACTTTGTTGTCTTGTGAGTGCATAGCGCTTGTGTCTGCTGTTCTGTGATGCGAGATTTTTTTCCACATGGCTTTGAGTTTCAGCATTTGATACTTGTATAAGAAGTTACACAAAACAGTTTGTTGAAAAGTTAAACACAAAGAACAATAATTTAATAGTACTGCCATAAGCACGTCAGGGCTGTCACTAGTTTTTGAATTAATAGGATAACTGGGTATTTGTCTAGTGTCATGAAAGGAAAAATCCACAGCCCCAAGCCCTTATAAATGACTGCCTTAAAAACTAGTTCGTAATTTACAGATACCCTAGTATAGAACTTCTAATAAAAGACAATTAATAAAAGACAAACGTAAATGTAACAGGCAATGCATTCAATAACATAATATGTTACCAGCAATTTAAATCAGGGCTTCTGATATTTCGCGCGGTCGCGGACCCGCGAAATTCAGGTATTTCCGCGAAATCCCGCGAAATTCCCAAAAAAACGCGAAATACCGCGAAATCCGCCAGAAATATTTCCGATTACATGTCGGGAAAACATATTTAATACTTATCTTGGCTATTAGACCTGTTTTATTCACCCCAAACATCCAAATTTATCTTGAAACTTCCTCACTGCAGCGGGTAAACAACGTCCCAAAACTATCAGGCGTTTTTAGATGAACGTTGCGAAAAACTGGGCACTAACCATAATGTTAATAGCTTTAGCATTCGCTCATTGCTCGAGTGAACTTTTGTTCAAAGAGCAAATAATTATCCCTGTTAAAAAAACGTTAAACAACGCTGGTCATATCGACGCAAAATTGATCGATTTTAGCGAAATTTGCCAGAAAAAATCCAGCGAAATCGGTTGTTTTTTATTGATTGTTTCTTGGCGAAGTTTCCCTCCGAAATTTCCTGTGAAATCGGCCGGTTTTTCTGCGAATTTGCCCCTGAAAATCCTTCGAAATTTGACTTTTTGCCGCTAAACCCCAGCGAAATCGGCCTATTTTTTTGCGAATTTCGACTTGTTTTCCCCGCGAAATCGGCCGATTTTTCCGCGAATTTGCCCCTGAAAATCCCGCGAAATTTTGCTTTTTTTTCCGCGAAATATCAGAAGCCCTGTTAAATGTAAGTAGTCAGCTGTACCAAAACATTTGTGATTGATTTTCTATTCTTCCTGAATCAGCATTTGACTTTTTTTCACTTGAAATTTATATCGTTTTTAAGACTTAGATCATGACTATTATTTCTGATCTTTTCATCATTATTACCTTTGTGCCAGAATTGCGGAGAAGATGGTTCACTCAGTGACTTGATGCCATGCACAGATTGCAGTGTATCCCTAACATTTTGATTATGGTCAAGATTCACAGCATTGAGATTAGTCGGCTTTTTCAGTCGGGGTGAAGACCAGTAGCCACTATCTGTAGGACTGTACCGTGAAGCAGACATCAGTTCTATTAACAGAAAAATGCAATTAAATTACAGTGTATTTATGAGTTTCTTATTAAAGGATTTATAACTTCCTTTAATTTTTTTATTATTATTATTATTCATTCAAAATATTCCTCAATAGCTGCTTCTGATTGGCTCAAATCTCCTAAATAAATCTTCATAACAAGCTACCATTGACCACATGGGGAAGATGTTTGCTGATATTCTTACAGAAGATCAAGTGAGTCACTTTTACAGTTAAGAAGCAGCTCAGCTGTTTAGGTAAAGCTGGAGAAAATGGCAGAAAATTTACCATGTTTTGCAAAGAAGAAACAGTCAAACTGCTGCCTTAAATATAGCATGAACACTCAGCAACAAATAATATTACTTCCATGGATGACAACTGCTATTCGCAGTACATCTGCTGGACTGAACATCCTTTTATATACCAAATTTACTAAGTTATGAAGACATGAACCGTATACATCTATTGAGCTAAGCAGTTTTGAAGTACAAAATATTTTCAATGAATAATAAAACAAATGTTGAATTTGGTTTTCCTATAGTATGAAGAATATCATGCAGATCAAGGAAAGTGTACGGTACATGTAGGTGTCGTCCACTAAGGCTGCATGCCGAGATTCAAAACACCCTCCAAGAAATGATGGTTCCTCAAACATTTTAAGTTCACTGATTAAAATTAATTAAAGTAATAATAACTATAAACTGATTGGCTAACTGCTTGACTGATATAAACGCTGAGTTGCTTGATGACTAAGGGCCTGTTAAAAAAAATTACGAGTGGCATGGGCACGTAGGGACTAGTACCCCTGCACGTAGACACTAGTCCCTACGTGCCCATGCCACTCGTAATTTATTTTATTTTTTGAGTATTCATTTTATTTTATTTTAACCTAGGTCTTAATCTAGGGGCGGTGCCTCGTATGGGACGTTAGTCCCGTTGCACCTACCCCTTTTGGGTTTTTCCTTCTTTTTTCTTTTCTTTTTTTTTGTGTTGTATCATAAATTTATATTGTATATTACAAGAGGAATACCCAATAAAGCTGTGGAAAAAAAAACAACAACAAAACAAAACAAAACAAGGTGATCATGAGCCCAGCTCGGCGGGCTGGCCCACTTTTACCACGCTGGCTTGGCTCACGCCTTGTTTCCTACTAAGATTTTTGTTATCTTTATATGAAAAGGCAGCCTGGCTTTGAACTACACAAACAAGGCATGAGCCAAACACGCTCACCTCATATTTAAAGGTCCTAAGTGACTCACTCTTTGACTTGCTTACAGGAATAATGACTCACTGATTGATGAACGGCATTGACAGGTAATTTGACTAATAGAATAGTTGATCCAACAAAACAACCATTGAAAAGTTTATAAGATTTATGTTGTAGTTAAGTTTTTATCTCAGGTTATTTTTATTTTTCCTTTGTTTCAACTTCATTAGCATAGATTACCATATCCAAAAACAAAAGAATTATTTAAAACAAAAACCACCTGAGATAAAAAATTAACTACAACATTTACAAAGACTAACGAAAGACAGGAAAAGAGGTTGACTGCCTCATTGAAAAATTAAGGAACTGACTTCTCCTGACTCACGGGTTTTCAATGCACGTTACCAAGATTATTTACAATTAAATTAATATAGGACACAGCATGATACTTTTCTTTGTGACATCAGCAGTGCAGAAGGATGAACACAGCTTGAAAGTCATGCATCCAGCTAGATCCATGCACACTAGAATAATAATGTTCTGCAGACTATGGTTGGGTTTAGAGTTCAAATCAAATGGGCAGCTGTACAGAAAACTATTTTCAGAAATGATATCTCTAGCAGAACTTTCAAACAAGAAAGCAGACAACACTACATTGGCTTACAAAGTTAATGATATTCTAAGCACTTTTTTGTCATGCTGAGGACCCTCCAGTCACATGAAATCCATTTAACAATTTGTCTCTTATCGCATAACTGGCAAAAAAAATTCCTCTTATTTTGAACACACCTTTTATAATTTAAGAAAACTGACACTTTCTAGCAAATTTCCAAGTAAATTTAAGGTGAAGTAGATTACAAAAATAGCCTGGTGTATCAAAATTACCAGTATGCATATAATTTGACTTCATTTGGTTATTTTTTGTTTGTGGTTTACTTATTCCCTTTAATTTTTCAATGATTTTGGTTTTGGACCCTTCGAATTTTTTTCTCAGATTCTCAAGTTTCCTCCACTGCTTTGATTTACTTCCACTGTTTGTCTTAAAGCATGTGCGGCAACTTCATTTCTGTCCCTGAGACGCCCGAGAAAGCCATAATATCAGTATTCAAGAGCTATTTGGTCCATTTGGGAAGTTTTAAATGCTATATTATTTTTGTGCAAGTATTGTCGAGAAAATTTGAAGTCATTGAGCAAAACCATACGAAGTCAAGTTTTTTGTTGTCAGTGTTCCTACAAACGCATCAAATGTGGCCTTTAATGTGGTCATCTGGCTTTCATTTCTGTCTATTAAGGTTCTCCAGTCGATGATATCCATCTACCTTTGACGGATATTTTTTAAACTATAAATATGTCAATGAAATAAAATAATAAAATAAATGCCTAAAATAAAGTCAAATGTCTTGTGATCTTTTCGGTGCCATAAGTAGCATGCACAATAAATGACAATTTGAAAAACTTTTAATTTAAAAATATATTTTTGATTCGAGAAAAAAATCCCAAATTTCTTTCCCTTTGAAAAAGAAAAATTTAAAATTGCGGCTGAATGTAACTGAACTTGCCTTAACATACAGGTGAAGACCGCTGTCTTGAAAAAATACATCTTAAATTGCCTTGGCTTACTTAATTTTAAAAAGCTTTATTACGACTTCGCAGATGATTTCACCCTGTTAGTCAACAAAGGAAAAACCACAGGAAATAACTGACAGCAACACAGCGTTCAAAAATTACTCCTTGCGTACGTTTAAAAGCTGATTTCACTCTCGTCGGGATGAAAAAACAGGCGAATAAAGAAACATTTTTATTACCATCGAGGGAAAATAATTAACAATCAAGGAAGCTCCTCACATCGTTGAATATTTTAGCTAGGATTAACCTCTGATGGCGCCTTCGGCATGGTAACCCATAAACACAACAACGTCGGCAACTGATATTTCCTTCTGTATATGAGCTCTTCTAAGACGATGAAATAAAGTCGTCTCATCCTTAAACTTAAATATGTCATTACTATCTACTTATTCTGTAGGCTAATATTTTTCAGACGCGTACCAAATTTCTACTAAACAAGAAAATACAAGCTCTATTTTCGCCGATATTACACGAGGAAACTCGATATTATCGCGCCATTTATACCACTTGCCAACATTTAAAAAGACAAGATTGGCTTCCCTCTTCGGTTTGAAACAGTTAAAAACGAAAGAATGAATTAAGCCCCAGAGAGGACAAAATCAATAGCGTATGACTTTCAAATATACCGCGAGAAACAAAGCAACAAAACAAAACTGGTTATTGACGCCTTCATAACGAAAAGTAGTAACAGAAGCTAGAAAATATCTCGTAAGACCACTTAAATAACGGTAAACAAACTTCTTGAGATCAATACGGCGAACAAACAGAAGAGATGATGCTAACAATCCATGAGCGCACTTACCGCTGTGGTGTCTTCAGCATGAAAGAAATGTTTCTTCCGTCTTTTTCATCATTAAAATTTATGTCTTTGATTAGCGAAAGCCATTTTGACAGTTGTGCTTTGAACAGCGGTGCGTGACGTCACGCACGAATGGGATCCCGAACAGCAAGAAAGAGGGTCGGGAGGGAGCGGTACACCTTTCTTTTTAAGTTAAACCTAACCCATTACAACCTAATACCCAGACTTCCTTTTTGTATTTTTTTAACCTTGTCAATGTTAAATTTCTTTCTGAGTGCTCAGCTTCACAGAAGCACGAAATGGGGCGTCTTTAGGGAATCCTAACCAAATATTTCAATTGTACTGAAAATCACTAGACTATTCGAATTTAATGACCCAAAACATCGTATTGTTTACAAAATTACTCAAAAATTTGCATTCCGAATAGTCTGAATATTTTTGACAGTTCCGTCTCTAGGTTAGAAAGACTGTTTTATAAGAGAGATGCTATTTCTGCATATGTGCCCACCTCGTAGTCGTGAATAGACAAAAACATGAAGAATTTTTTGTCAACCTACTTTTAGAATCTGTTTATCCCTAGTATAAGCCTGGGCGCGTATCTTTTTCAAGGTGCACATTTAAATGCCACGAGAGAATGTACAATCAATCTTGCGTGTTTCGAGTACCCGCGATATAAGGAGACTGACTTGAGATAACCAGCAGCCTGTTCTACGCGTTTAGATAGTAGGGAGCAAGTTAAATCGTACGCGGCGAGCGCAAAAAGAAACACGAGGGGAAAAAAAGAGGGGAGATTGGGGCGGGAGCGAGAAAACCTTTTCCCGCCCTATTTTTTCCCTCGTCAATTTTTCGCCCGCTGGCCCCACCATCTGAACGCCTCAAACAGGCTAAGAAACTAGTAAATTTATAGAATCACGTTTAAGGGAAACGGCCAAACACGTGATTCAAGTTGACAAATTCTGAAAGAAAAGGATTTTTTGTCGTTGAACCTGAAAAGAAACTAAATGTTTAATTGTAGATATGATAACAGTACAAAACAGGGCCAAGGCACTAGTCACGCGGTGTGATTGGACCTATGCCGTCGCCTGCTGCCGAACGTGATCCTAAATGTCTCTGGTGATGCGATGGACAACGGGACTGTGATTCTGTTCAAGATGTAGCTCAAAGAAAGTGGGATTAAGTGTTTCCTTAACTGATTTGAAAGAACAGAAAAACGTCCGATTGACGACAAGATAATTTATAGTAATTTGATTTTTGTTATCATCCCTTCTTCATTTTGCGCCTTTGAACTGAGAATCTCTATTTAAAGCTATTATCCCCTCAAACGATAACTTACAGGAATGTTTAGAGAATTTGTTCCATTCTGAAGAGATATCAAAATTTATTTAATTTTGGGCGAGTCTTTTATATGTATATATGTGCCATTAGAACAGGCGACCAGAACAAAACCAGGAAATATAAATGATCAACGTAATGTTGGCTTCAGTTTATAATTATCTCATGGGAGACGGCTTACCTTTTTATGGCCTAAGCGGAAATCTTCTTTCCGTTGAAAACACAACAAAATCTGTTATCTTCTTTTTCTACCACAAATATTAAAAGTATAGACCTTCGCTTTATGCCTCTGAAGGTAATATTATCTGTTTGTTATTCTGGCTGACTGAACTGTCAAAAAGCTTTTTGCGTATCATTGATAATGCAATATATAATAGCAAACGTTGGCCACTTAAATCAAAGATATTTGAATACATGTAAATATTGTAATTGAAGGAGCTTTCTAAGACTGTAAAGGATGTCTCTCTTCATCAATCTCTAGCTATAGCTTGATCTGTGGAATAAGTCAGTTTGAAACTGAAGTAGACTGATACTTGGGTCAAGAGTGGTCTTGCAAGCACGTATCTATCAGGTAGGATATCACCACCATCTTTGACCACCATGAGTGCAGCACTTAAAACTAGTGGTACAGAGCCCTCCCCTGTTGAAGCCACAAATCCGCAATGTGATAAAGCTTCAAAGGCTATCGAAACCGGAGTACTCGAAAAAGCGTCGCCTTCAAATAAAGTCGAACAAAAATTAGCGCCGCGGCGCTTTTTCGAATAAACAAAATTTTCTACTGCATTCCCAGGTTATGTAGGGCTCATTTAAACGTATAAAAACCAAAGTTCCAGGAGCCTGGGTAAGAGACTCCTGAGAGTGCAAAGTATTAGTATTTTAGTATTTTCATACCCTACCGATGTAAGTACCGATGTTTATTAGCGCGATTCCAGTCCTTTGGTTGTTCCCAACCTTCCCTCGGCCCTGCTGCCAAAAAACTACTTCCCTCCAGCTAATCCCGCCAGCTACACAGGCTAGTCCCTGCCTTTCTTTACTCCCTTTATTTGACTCTCCATAAGACAGACGTCGATCACTCTTAGACGGACACTTAATGCCGGTCCCAGAGGTGTTTGTCTCATTAGAGGAGAGAGTTGACTACGTCCATTTAAATTCTTCGACTGATTACGAATTACCATAAAACAAAACAAACGTCCGACCGTTTAGTTTCCCGATACGATGATGGTTTTACTGAGAGTACTTACAGTAGCAAGTCTTGCAGTACAGTGGTTTACTACGTTCAAAGGCTTGTTAAAAAGATTTTTAGCCTGGTTTTGTGTTTGTACTCTCCGAGAAGACAAGAAAAATGCTGAACAATAACGTTTGCCAGATCATTTTTAGTCTTTTTTGAAGGATGATTTGGATTGTGTATCTGTGATCGATTGACAAAAAGGTTTGAGCGTTTGAGAAGTCAACGAAATAAGTGATGTTATCGATACAAAGTTGGAGTGAGATAATCAAAATTGCACTTAGTCATGCAAAGATGTCAGGGTGATGATAAGCCTGGAAAAAGCAGCAAATTTTGTTCACGAATAGAAAATGAACATATGAACAACTACAACTTATTAAGTATTAGCCAAACAATAAAAAACTTACCGACTGGAGTTACAGGGTACCATTGTTTAACTTCACGTGTTGGACAGCAGTCCATGATGTTTGTATTCAGACGTCAGTGAAACCGTTATCTTGGCTTGTAATAACCGCGTACTTTGCAAACGTATTGAACAGGTCCCATCGTTTTCCCTTGTTCTTGCAACTTTGTTTTTGTACTTCCAAGGCATATTTTTCTTTTTTCAGCCACTATTGTATGGAATTAATTGCAAGTTATCGATCGTGATGAAGGCAATGTTCTTGCCTGTTTGTGCGATACGCACAAGCCATGTTTCTATTGTTTATCAGTGAATATACGACGTTCCTTTGTTATGAAGCTTTGATGTTTGAATATTGTTGTCCAGCGTTGATGAAGAGCGCAAATATTTGAATAACAATTCATCGACACAAAGGCATTTTCCAGTACCTTTTTGTCAAGGGTGAACTATTTAATTGGTTCTCACTACTGGTTTTGTCAGCTAGCTGTACGGGCGGCAATTTTACATCTTTGCCTTGATTTAATATAAGCGGTCTGCTAAGTTCTATTTGCCGGCTAATGAATTTCTAAACTCATCAGCTTTAAAAGTAATTAGATTGATTTTCAATAGTGAGTCAACGGAAAGCACACTTTATTACTTTCTTAATTGTTTGTTAGTCTCTGTTACTTTTGTTTGTTGGACGTCAAAAGCCGGTTTGATAGCCTGCGAAAACATCCGTTTCTCCTCGCTCTTCGCCGCTAGGGACGTTTCGCGAAACGTCCCCAGCGGCGAAGAGCGAGGAGAAACGGATGTTTTCGCAGGCTACCGGTTTGATGGAACCCCAGGAGGGTATTGCTTCTATGGAGACTGTGCCCCTGGCCTCTCAGAAACCCCTAAGCCAACCCCATTATAGTCTACTCTGTGGCCATATTATAGACCCCATCTTAGTCACTTTTGGAAAAAAGCAATTGTCGCAATTCCGACTTAGTCACTTTCTGTTTATGCATCTACCTTATAAAGCCCTTTAACTAAATCATCCAGAAATAAACTGACAGTTGTTAAACCTAAAGTGGTGTAAATCTTTCTATTTTTAAATCCCTACATGCCTGAATTATCTGACCCCCAAAATCCTGAAAATGTGCGACCCCATTCTAGTAACTCTTATAAAAATGCAGCCCCATAATAGTAAATCCAGTCGTGAAAATGCGACCCCATCCAGCGGCACTTACCCCATTAGCCTACTAGTAGGCTAATGGGGTAAGTGCACAAAGAGTAAAGTTCGGTATTTCATTCTTCCACTTACTCGTAAATGAAATTACAGTAAATAAGGGGCTTTCAAGTGCTGTATGTTGGTATTTATTAGCCAATAAAGTTTGTTTCTGTTGTCGTTATGAGGCTCGATCACACGTTAATCGAGAGGGTACGATATTGCCTTACGCAAAAAAATATGGGTGTATCTGCCATCGTTAGCACGGCAATAGTGTTAAACGCACATATCACAAGCAACTTTGTTTGGTAGCTGGGTATAGATATATATAATTTATTCATTTTGATTTGACAAATTTTCACTTTCTCTGGATTTACATGACATTTGTGTATTTGTACAAGGAACCATACAATAAATAAACAGCCAATAAAACATGCCACTAGTCAGAAATTGAAAACACTACTCAATAAAGGCGAAGTCAAATACAGCCATTTCGAGAAAGGTTGTCGCAAAAAATGTCCACGCGACAGTCCCGAAAGGCAATATGGGATATGATCTATACACTTTTCCTAACGACTGCAGCTGTCGAATTTACTTTTGTTGCTTTCATTTAGCAGCTCACAAACATACCTCAATGGCCTCTCATGCCATTCTTTCATATTTTTTTGAAGAACAGTGAACTAAAAACCACCCACAATACCTTTCAGGATTGTCGCGTGCACTTTTTCTGACAACCTTTCTCGAAAAAGCTGAATACTATTAGATGGTTTCGGTTTGACACATACAGGAAAAAGGGTAGATAAAACTGCGTTGCTATCTTGATACGACGGAAATGTAACAAGTGTCACGTTGTCCAAGAACTGGCCATTTCCAAGTATATCTGACGTTTGCTTTGTTTAATCCTACTTTAAAATCCCCACACCCAATTCTCATGTGCAAACTCATCGCTCCCTCCCTATTACCCAGAACTACTCCCAATGATAAGGATTTTTCTCTAAAGAGTTTTGAAGTGTCTTCATTCCTTTATAAACAGCTAGTGTCTTTTTGGCTCCCCCTCCCGGTGGAGCGTTTTTTGCTGCTTTCGTTTTAACGGTCGTTATCACTTCCACTTCACCGCCGCTAGCCGGGAGCACAGCGCTTGCACTTTTGGGTCTTGCCGCTGATCTCGCCTTTTGCTGTTTGTGTCGCTTTTTAGCTTTCTGTTGTTGCCGTCTAACCATGGCTATTTGTTCTCCTTTCGCCTCCATGCGAGCTTCTAGATTTTCCAGTTCTCGTCTGAGGTCTTCTTGTATTCTTGGGTCTTCTGATTCTTGTATTTGGCGGGCGACTTCGCGGTGTTCGCTGTAGATAAACAGGGAGAAATATTGGATTTTCTTGTTCAGTTTTACCAAAGTGACAACTTCATAGAACTATAAATTTACTTAGATATACTAAGGTAACTCTATTTTCAGTTTAGGTAGAGGTTTACGGTTGAAATTACAGGATCGGTTATTCAAAGGAAGTCTGACTAATGGAACTCCAATATCCACATACAAAATTTCCACACTGATCCCCATACATTTCCTTATAACAATTTGTCGAGAGAATTCAAGGGATATAGACCCCAATGAATTCTGTTCAGTCACCGAAAAGACCCACATTTTAAGGCTCGAAAATACTTTTTGAATTCAAAGCCTAAAATACAACACTTACAAAGTAATATGTCCAAACTCATCCTGAAGGCCCAGAAGTAGCTCATCAAAAGCACTCTCTGAGTCACTGGAGCGAGGTGTAGATCCTGCACTCTGCGTGTGTCTCTTTTGAGCCCTACGTGCAGCAGCGTTACAAAGCGCGGGGTTATGGGCCTTCATTAAGGACAGCACAGTTTGTAAATTAGCACCAAGAGAATGTGACTTCGTAGTTGACTGAAATTAAAGCAAAGTTTATGATCAGTGACATTTGGTAATACAGTTCAAACTGAACTTATAGACTTAATTTTCTACACTCCAGTAAAACTTAGCTTTAACCGAACGCAAGGTTATGTAGGAAATTTTAGTAAAAATGTTAAGACATGGAATACGTATGGAACGAAACGTCGACTTTTTAGACCGTAATGGCATAAAGAAGAAGAAAGGAAAAAGGGAAAAACGCAAGGTCACGACTTTGAAATCGTCCTTCGGGTTATTTCGTTAAGCGACATACAAAAACTCAAGATTTTAGAAACGTATTTATGTACTTACTTCGTGAAGCTGGAAAGGACAAAGCTCGTGGGATAGTTGCTATGCAGGTAATTTAGCCAACATTTAGACGAACGTGACAAGGAAATGGACATTTTAAAAAAATCTTACATATGAGGACATACAGGTCTTTTCATGGGTATTCCAGCCATAATTTTGCATTGATATCATAAACCTGAAGCATGTAAATGATTTAACCCGGTTCGAGGTTGAAAGTTGTGTCTCAGGTCAGGGAAAAGAGTTACACCATCCAAAACGATTAGAATTGATGTAAATTAATTCTTCGGTGCCGAAAGGAATTTGAAGAAGAAAAACGGTGGGAAATGAGGTTAGACTACTAGTAGTCCCCCAATTTTCCTCAGGGATAGTAGAGTGAGCGAAACTCGAGCGCGCGTGAAAATCACCCCACGCGAGAAAAGGCGACACGCGGCGGGGAGAGAAAAATGTCGCGTGGGGTGATTTTCACGCCCGCTCGCGTTTCGCTCGCTCTACTATCCCTGAGGAAAAATGGGGGACTACTCGTAGTCTAAAATGAGGTCGACTAAGTTAAAATTCAGGAAACAGAACAACCAGCAACACTCGTCAAATTCCGTTGAAACACTAGACCGAAAATGAGCGCCTTCTCATCCAATCTATTGAACTTTTCTGCGAGTGTACTTCCTCTCTCCTTCCCCAAGATTCGCGTATATTTGCAAATGGTTGTTACGTGAGTCAACATTGGGGAGGGCGTAACGTGAAGAATGTTCCAGGCGTACAAAGAACATCCTCGTTCCCAGACTTCTCTCCTACTCGCAGCCCCGGGGGACTAGAAAGAGTCAGAACCCTGAAATAGAGGTTGGAAACAGAAAACTTTTGATGATAGTTTTGAATCCGGAGACACGTACCTGGCCCACGACAAAAGGAATATTTCCTAAGTTAAGTCGATAATGGTCTGGCGGTTTAGCAGGTTGTGGTGCTCTTCTTGCGGGCTTGGGCTTTGGAGGCTGAAAAGAGGAAAAGAAAGAACATAGCTTAGCTTTGGAATAATACTATGCAAAATAAATGAGGCTATTATAGTGAAGAAAAGTTATCACCTTCCTTTTTTTCTTCTTAACCCTGGGTGGAGATGTCATGTCCATGAGGATCCTATTCGTCTCCGCGACTGATTCCAGCTAGAAAAACAATTATGAATCAATTAAATTATAAGCTGTGAGAAAAGGGTACAGTAGGAATTGGCCACACACAGTTTAGCTCAGTTTTGAACTGAACAAGTGCTAAACTAACGGGAACATCTTGACATTTTTTAGTTATTGTTGGATAGATGGCTAACAGTTTAAAACAAGGAAATACTTGTAAAAAACAGTAATGTTAATTTTTGCTTCTTGCATAACTCATTAAATTACATGTAGAGTAGGGTCAAGGAAATGGCCAAAAATGCTATGCACCATTTTCACCAAGACCATAATGCACCTTGTTTACCCCCCTCCCCTCCCATAACAATTGTCTTTGATTTCTCTTGGGACGACTGTAATATCCCTGAGGAGAAATTGTCTTTTTTGGGGGGGGGGGGGGGGGGGGGAGGGAGGGGTAAACAAGGTGCATTATGGTCTTGGTGACTCTCCGTACTGTTGTAGCGATGAAACTCAAAATAAATTGTTCAAAACTGTTTAATTACTGCTCCCAAGCAATTCAAAGCCGGTGATTTGATTACAGTAAAACCCTGCGACTAAGAACCTGCATTAAAAGAACCTGTTAGGCTAAAATTTGCCAGTTAAGCCCCCTCTATGTAAGAACCTGTTTAGCCTAAATTTTTGAAAACATTCTGATTTTCTAAAATCTATGACAAATTCCGTACACTTAGGCAAATAAGATAAGTCAACATTCACAATCATCTTTGAAGACATAGGTGCCTTATCGCTTCAACTGCAATGTAATGGTATGCAGATCTTACATGAGGAATAAGCTGAACCACTAAATACTCTTAGCTGTATTGTCTTTTCTTTCATTAGAAAATAAGAACCTATTTACAGTGTAAGAAGCTAAATAGGCTAAACTTATGCTTCATGGTCACTACCATAATTTTATTTAAGAACTTGTTTAGAGTTACTTGGAAAAATCCAGGTTTATTAGTCATGAGGTTTTACTGTATTTCAAACAGCAGAAAAAAAAGAAAGAAAGAAAAGAAAGGAAAAAGACAAAAAAGGTACATTGTAAGATCTTTCCAGAAAATACTGACTCTAACTGCAGTTGCTCTAATGATATTTACTAACAACCTCGGCTGTCTTATTTTGAACCAATTTCCTCTGGTGAGCTTCCTCTCTAAGCCTGTCTTCCAGTTCTCTGATCTTACTCTGAGAGACAAGTACATGAAAAGATAAATCATTATGGATGATAATCATCACAAATTCTAGAAGAAATACAGAAGGTCGCACACTAACTGGTTGTGGTAATCCTTTTTGCTTGTTTTCCTAATAAAAAATTAAAGGGAGGCGGTAGAAGGGCACTTTTTCTAAAATGGGGTGCTTATTTGCTACTTGGACCAAGGGCAGATGCATTGTTTTTTATTGGTTGGGGGATGCTTATTGCAGCCTAGGTGCTTTGAACCCTAAGGGACTTGTCAGAAATTAGCAGGGGGGGGAGGGGGTGGAAACAGAGGGAGGGTCACAACTTTTTGAGACTCAGAAAAGGCAGGGGTCATGAAAAATGGGCCGTTAAAACGGGGAGGGTCATGCAAATATAGCCCGTGATCATGTAGAGGTTCACCTGCAGAATAAAAAGTAAGTTCTTTATTTGGTAAAAAAAAGAGAAAAATAATTAATAATAAAGAACAACAGAACATTATGGATATAAACTGTGAAGTACTATTGCAAGAATTTAACAAATATCTACTTTTCATTTATTACACGGCAATGCTATAGAGTGTTATTGCATTTTTATCATGAATAATGTTGTTATTAATGTTATTAGAGTTTTGGCTATCCTATTCATCACTGTCTTCAGCATCACCATCAATGCTGGTGTGAGCATCTTGATCATCATCATTTATGTCATCAGCATTGATACAATCACTTTCATCATCATCATGATTTTCATTTAAGTTGAAGCTTGGATATTGCTGGATAATTTCCTGTTATTCATTGGTGAACAACCCTTCTCAAAGATGTATTGGATATATGGCCTTTGTGTTTTGAGGAGCCCACTTATTCCTTCATAATGAAGAGATAATGGACCAATAGGCTCTGTAACATTATGCCACTCTTGCTGAGGTGCAATGGTTTCAATAACTTTTTTGCAGTTAGCTTCCATTCTTTTTGCTCTAGCTTTTTTTTGCTTTCCTTTTATTTTGTTTTTGTTTCCTTTTTTCTTGTTGGCTTGGAATACTGCACCTCAAAGAGCCTGGAACATTTTTCTTTCAATTCTGTAAGGTGGGGAGGGTCATGATATTTTAGGCCAAACATAAGGGGAGGGTTAGCAAATTTCACTCCCATTGAAGGGATGGGTCACCTAATTTCCAAACCCAAATTTAAAATTCCCCCCCCCCCCTGCTAATTTCTGACAAGTCCCTAAAGAGAACCTAATGCCATTGTGAGCATAAGTTGTATGGCAACTCACTTCAGCTATGGAATGCTGTGCTGTTAGTTTCATATGATCTCTTTCAAGGCCTGAAAGTTTTTCCAGCTGCCCTCTAACGTCTTCCGATGTTTGCTGTGCAGCTTGTTTAGCCACCATTGCTGATCGCTGTATTGCTGTGTCTCTGTCTGCCTCAGCTGTCTGGACCATCTTACGCATGTAATCTAACTGCTTCTCCAGCAAGTTACATCGGGCCTCTGCACCCTGTAGATCTTCCTCTAATTCTAAAGAGAAATTCTGTATTAAACAATGTCTGTTACAGTGATTTTGTTACCTCTGCGTCCTGCATCCCTGACGCATAAAAATCCCCAAAGATACTAAATAATTTGTGGTATGCATCCCGTAGGACACAAAGATCGATTGATCGATCTGAAGATGTTTTTGTAGTATATCCTATTTGTGTGATTTCTGTGGCTGTTCTTGTGGCTGTTGTTTAATGGCACAGTGCATTTATTTTAGTCTTAGTTGTGCTTGACAATAGAAGTATATTTTTATTTCAGTAAACTGTATTTATAGAGTTTTGGAGTCTGTCTTTAGATTAACTGTGTGGTTACATAAAGACCCAGGGACTCATGATTTTTAACTGGGACTCCAGGGTTCTCAATAAAAGCCGGCACCCGGCGATTGATCGCCACTTACTTTGGAATTGGTAGCCGGTTACTTTGCATTCTTTTTGCTGCTTTTCTCTTTTTTGTTTGTGTTCAAGTCTTCTGCCTATCCCTTTCATCTGATTTTGAGTTTTCCTTGTCATAAAACAATCGAGACCAAATAAGTAAACTCGCTGGTGCTTCCTTACTTAACTACCGCCATGTTTTCAACCACGTAGACATCCGAGTATGCAACATTGACTTTTGCCCAGCCCTTCACGGTAAAACATGGTTACTTCGGGAACATGCCTCAGACTCCTTCCTAGGTTTAACGCCCCCCTATTAGTCACAGCCGCCTAGTTAAGGTTGGGCAGACGCCTACTGCAAACCCTATTGAGAACCCTGGGACTCATTGGTTCTGGGCTGGTACTCACAATTTTTCACAAGAGGAGTCCCATGACTCACCACAGCTATTTGTAACAAAATCACTGCTGTTGCAAATGATCTTTCAACAACACCAGGGCTGTCACTAAGATTTCAAATTGCAGGGAGTGTATATAATGCAATTAGTGCAAGGAACTGAACACTGAGTTAGAAAGTCCTATATTGGTCGTGACACTTTTTCATGTTTTTGTTGTAATTATTTTGTATAGAGATCCAATGCAACTAAGATATTTACAGTCAAACCAGGTCAAGCGTACCCTCCAAGAATCCATTAATGAATTTATTATTCAAAAGTTGAATCCGTTGCTAGTTGTAGATTTCAGATTGATCTCTGCATTCTTGTCCGTGTAATGAGCCGTGAGTTCACACGCGAGGCAGTTATGAAATTTCTACCAGCTCCATTTTCCTGAAATTGATGTAAATGTCTTCTAAGAAGCTTAATCCATTCGAAGATTTCCAATCTGACCAAATACAGAGAAGTTCTCGTAAAATATTCACTGCTCATTACGCATGCAGAAATGCCGCTTTGAATTTGACACCAGTTACGGGAACGACTAACGGATTCATTTTTCAAATAATCAATTTACTGATAGAATCTTGGGGGGTACGCTTGACTTGGTTTGACTGTAAACAGAATAATTGCTTTTATTAACCTTTTAAATGTTTAAATTTTCTTGGTATGCCTAGGCTTAAGGAACATGTACCGGCAGCTACATGTACATTTTTATGTTCTTGTGTCCAATAAATTCCAATATACAGATGAACGTCCATTATAAAGTGGTCAGTAATGAACCGCCCTAAGTGACAACCTCTAACAAGCGGCTGCAGCTACCTTCTGGCTATCCTGACAAAAGAACTCCTATTGTTGTCACCTCTTTTAAACAGCCACCAAGCGTTTGACACAAAATGATGAGGGAAACCATAGTCCAAGATAGAAGGTGACATAATTTACTGATTTAGAGCTGTCTCTTGTGGCAAAGTTGTCTAACAAGTCTCCAATGAATGGCCAACCTACATTAAACAGCCCCTTGCTATTACCACAAACCCAGCTTAATGGAGGTTCATTTTACTACTATAGTGGACAATAGCACTAAAGCATGTTTATCGATTATCTACAGTGTACAGTCGTATTTCACATAAAATGAGTACAGTGTAACCTTTATCACCTACGTTTGTTTTGTTTTGCAATCACTCCTTGCGTTGAATCTCTTACATGGAATTCTTTTTGTAGTGCATCTTTATAATGTCTGGATTCTGTTGCTAATTTCTTCAAGTTATCTTCTGCATCTGCTCTCTCCAACTCAAGTTTGCGAATTTTTTCCTGTAATCCCTTTAATGCTGATACTACAGCTATTTTGGAAATAATGTTGAGAATCAAAATTAAAACAAAAATAATACTAAACTATGTAGACTCTGATTGTAAATTGATAGTGATTGTTGTACCTTAATTGAGAAATAATAGGTATTACCTCATTGGCTAGCATGAATTAGAGCCGGAACCACCGGCTCCGATATATCGATTTCTGTCGATTAACTATGTCTGAAAACATGTTTTTACCTCTACTGTTAGTTTGAGGAACAGTCCCTCTTGGAGATTGTTGTAAATTGTCATAAAATGAAGAAACTGATCCAGTTGCTCCAGGGAAGGAGGATGTAGAACGAATGCTAGCTCGGTGGGGTGAGTCTGTACCATATCCTCGGTAGCCAGGCTGGTAGGGGGAAGACTACAAAGAAGATAAATGACAACAAGTAACACACATATATAATATTGAAAAATAGTCAGAAAGGACATTTGTGAGCTAGTATAATCAAATATTACACAAAAATGTTTAAATACAGGGTGCAAAGAAAGTCAGCCTGCCTGTTTTACAGCCTGCCATTTGGGAAAGCTGTAACTAGCATGTACTAGCCCACAAGTCATTTCAACTAGTCCCAAACCCCTTTTTGATTAGCAGGATTGACTTCAGTCCTTCTGTAATTTGAATTTCCCCCAAAATACAGCACTTGCCCAAGAACAAAAATGACTAGCCCGATAGCAAAATCCAGTAGCCCCAGACTATCGCACACGACTTTCTTTGCACGCTGAAATAGTAAAAGC